TATGGCGCAATTGAACAGCGTGACATTTTTCCACATTGAACGGTAGTGTAGCAGAGCTGACCAGTTTTGAAATCGTGTTGTGGTCACGCTGGAGCTTTTCGTTGGTGTCCGGTTCTCTTATCCCACGCCATAGCTTGAGATCATCAGAGAAAAGCAGAGTAATCTGAGGTTCTTTCCTACCCCCATGTTGTTTATGATAATCGAAAGTAGCCGGGGCCCGAGCAACGCGCCTTGTGGTGTACCGCATTCCACCACTATAGCTTCGGACAGAGATTCTCATATTCTCAATTCCAGCCAACGTTCGTGCTGAAAATTGCCTATACAACGTAGCAGCTGGTCGTCAACGCCATAGAGCTGAAGTTAATAGAGAGGTGTTCGGTGTTCTAAGTGATCAAACGCTTTTGAGAAGTCCAAGTAAATGACACCGACTCCTGCTCCACCGTCAACTGCCTTAGTCCAGCTACTGCGTACAATTAGCAGGTTCTTAGTACATTAGCGCTTTTATTGGAAGCCATGTTGCTCTGGTGCTATCAGGTTGTAGTTTTCCAGATATTGCATGAGTGCATCAGCGGTGGTAGAATCCATCATCTTGGAAAGCACAGGGAGTAGTGTTATCGAACGGTTATTAGTTGGGTCAGTGCGACTACCTACCTGATGAATAGGAGTGATGACCTCTCCCTTCCATATTGTTGGAATATTGTTCTCCTCAATACGGCACTGATAGAATATAGCTGGAGTGTTCGCCAGATCACTGGCTGCTGCATGTAAATTCTTCGGTCGGATGTTATCAACACCAGCAGGGCTATAGATACGCAAACAGTTTCTGTAACACAGTTTCTGCAGTAAAAGTCATATTGGATAAAACTGATGGTGGGACAGTAGAAACAGGGATAACCGTTTGGCCTCTAAGTCTCTGGGACGTTTGCGAGTAATGGAACAGTATAAGAACAACTGCTTCCGTTACTGACCGCGTACACCTCTCAGTCGTGACCAGTGGTGGATTGCCGCTTTGCACTTTACGAAGGCCATTCACATGCCTGTGAAAGAGTTTGCGGTTCGTGCAAAATCTCTTCATCAACTCCTGCTGATACCTCACCTTGTCCTCGCGGAGCAACCTCACACAGAAGTTACGCGGTATCACATAGGCAGTCCAGGTTTCGGATTTAGGGAGTCCTTGTGAGCTCTCAATTCTAAATCCCTCAAAGACAAGCGCTTACCTTTACTGCTCCTCATAAATTACTTTCTTCTCCTTTGACGATGGAAAGAGTTCTGTTCAGTCACTGCGTTACCAGTGTGGTGAATGTTTTTGTGAAAGCGTTCCAGACGGTTTCTGAGGGCATTCATTTAACTTGGTTCAAGATACCTTAACAAGCGCAGAAAAAAGTTGCAGTGCGTGACTGCATACTCTATATAATCTTCCACAGGATATTCTGTATAACATCCATAGTTAACTAGTAGAGTCACCAGGTCACAGTGATCCAGTGGTGTGCTTGTATATATTCGGTCGACCATGAGTTCTTCGTTGGTGAGCACAAGATCAAGTATCGACCGCTTGTTAGCATTTCGGAATCAGGTGAGTGAGGTCACATTGTGGTAAAGAGGGTGGTTGGAAAGTAAATAGGCTGTGAACTAGGCTGTAAATAGACTGTGAACTGCATGATATCGATCGCCCCTAATTCAAGGTCCTGCACATTAAAGTCGCCTGTAAATGAGGATGTAACTGTTTGACTTGCTCAACCAACCTGAAGAACGTGGTTCGGTTTGGCGTCCATTTCACCCATAGAGTTTGGTGGACGGCAAGTCACAAAAGTAAGGCATGTGTCTTTGTTCCGCAACCACAGCCGGCACCAAAGTGAATCTGGAGCACGGATCTCCTGGTGGTCAATATTAAATATTAAATATTCTCGATAAAGCGAGGCGCGTCTTTTGGGTATGACACATCGACTAGCCTTGTAATAGAGAATTACGCCACCACCTCTTCCAACTGTCATTCGGAAGCAGTGACGTAGCGGGTAAATTCACTTTAGAATCTGCTACCTCAGCTTAACCAGGTCTCCGTACTCAGAATGAGCTCCTGCAGTTGTGACGCTTGACGTTCTCCATGTTCGACTAACTTACTAAGTAGACCTTGTGTGTTAATATACAAACATGATTGCGTTTTTGATATTAGAAGTGTGTGTGTGTGGACAATAAATTCGTGTTTGGTTTTAAGCTGATCGTTCGTCGGTCGGACATTAATCGTTTTTTGCTTGGGTCATTTGTCCTTCAATTTATGGTAGGCAGCATGGTGCATGAAGCCTTCCAGTTTGAGAGGTTTTCTCGTGTATCTCCCTGCCCTGTCAGGTGTCCATAATGCCATATTGTCTAAAACTCTGCAGAATTGTGGTGACAAATATTTTATTGAGGTTGCATGTTCCAATGAAGTGCTAAAAACCAGTGTCAGTGAGCCTGCTACCTTTAGCTTAATCTCGAAAGGCAACCTGGAGCGATTTTTCAATCAGCTATCCAATAAGGCTTGTGTCATTCCTTCGGAGTGTAGCACGACTCAATATTTTTGGACCGCAACCCTTGTAGTTTGGAGATGGAGGAATTCTTGTTAGTGATTTAGTGATAACGTAGTCCAGGGAAAATGCTTTGCGGTCATGCTTTTGCGCTTCTTCATGTAGAGAACACAGTATTTAGGAACACCATGAACGAATACGGACTTTTGCTTTCGTTCGTAGAAGGGCCGCCATAGTTTTCCTTTTCTTGGCCGTCCTTTCCAAGGAATATCTGGTAGTATGCGGACCCCGCTCGATGAGTCGCGAAGATGAACTGCTGCGGGCAGGACTATCTCTGTATCCTCAGTTGAATTCAAAGTTACCCGAAGAAATCATGGTTCGCCCTAGTGCACTGAATTTGGGCGACGCGCCACGCGTCGTAGCCCAGTTGGCTCAACCTGAATTCCAATCGCATCGCAGATGGAAAGCAACTGGTTGCAATCATCCACCAAGTTGCCCTTTATTGTGTCAGATCAGTACTCAGGAAGCTTAGTGTACACGAGCGTTAACGCACTGTGGTTCTGTTTTGCGAACGTCGGTTGGAGTGTTGTGGCTGGTAACTTGGATTGTTTGGCGGGCACTAAAGAACTTTGTGAAAATGGCGCCGCATCGCTCGTCCTTGGTCTAGAAAATGGACGTGCAGTGTCTCTTTAGGCGTTTTATTGAGGCGATCGATACGTATGTTACCCGGCTCTGGACTGCCGGTCTTGTGACTGACTCGTGAGATATGGCATCTAAGGATGAGTTAAGAGCAGTCACGCTGGATGTGGCTTGTCTAATTAAATGGTTAGTAATTGCAGGAGTAGGTGGCTCAGATGCCGTCGAGCGGTTAGCAAGCCTGACTTTAGCTTTCGACTTAGGGACAAAGCTCTGAGGGATTTGCTGTAGAACAAGATCGGTGTTGTTAGATCCTAATGGGAAAGCCCTGAAGCTAGCCATCTGCTGAACTGTTTCAGTCAGTTTTTCAAAATTTTTCACGAGCGATAGTAAACATTTGACTAATGGGATTGCTCTGCATGTTTGGCACAATTAAAGCGAATCAGTCAGCTTGATTTGTCTCTTGTATGGTAGCTGACTATACCAATTCCTTTGTATGTACTACTTCTGGCGTGAGTACAGCACTTTGCATCCCGGAATTAGAGAGTATGCAGTGGGTGTAGGAAACATCTGCTGGCACTATAACTTCTGATAATTGATACCAACAATATGCAGACTGTTCTTGTTTGTTGGAGAGATTTATGGCGTGACGTGTTCTTAACGTGTCTAGGTATAGCTGATGGGCGAGGACCCCAAAGCAAATCCAGGTGTTGATACGTATTACTCGAGTATTGCGGGATCGCACCTGGACCCTTAGTCCACGCAAGAAGTGAATAAGAACACACACCGGATGCAACGTGTCAAAAACTGTAACGGATAGCTTTTAGGTTACACCAGATGAATAAGTCGAAAAGGAACCAATCAGCACAAGGAAAAAGAGTGGACGAATCAGCTATCGGTCAATCGATCTGTATGTGTCTGTGTTTGCTCATCGGCTCATCGGTTTAGCGGACGACACACATGTAACAGTAACTGTCGATCTGCCCTCTAGTTATGAAAAGGACTGCTTACCACTGATTATCACTGGCAGCATAGCCACAAATCTAGCAGAAACAGGTGAAGTGGCACGCTGATATTTGAAAAGCACCGATTGTCATGATTATCGCAAATCAGTGTTATCAAAGGTACACTATGAATTGGCGAATTTGCTGCTGAGCGATGACTGACCGCGAAAATCTTGCAAAGGAATCGCGCAATAGATGTGTGCGGTCATACTTTGAATGAGTTCTAATGGCATAAGCTTTCAGGATTCTCGCTATCATCGAACGAGTGGTTATTCATATACTCTAGGGGAATGGTAGTTAAAGTAGGAGATTATACCCCAACTTAACCGTCGTGTGGTGTTAAGAAGTACACAGGTGACTGTATCCAAAGTGCCTCACCACATCCAGAAAGTTTGGATGACACCTTTTCGCAATAATTTGAAACACTGGCAGCGAGGTTTGGTTGCTCACATTTTGATTGGTTAGACAAGCTCGGTGAAAATAGCAATAGGTTACACCACTTCGTCCGTCACCACTTGGTACACATATAGGCGCATTGTTTTAACCTATTTTCTGGTAAACGGGACACTGATATTCCACTACGTCAATAGGTCGAGGGAATACTCTATTGGTTCAGCTATTAAGGGGACCCACAAGAGCAACTGGGCACGACTCTTAAAGACACAAGGAAGAATTAAATATGCGTCCTTAAGCGAGATAATGAACCCTAGTGGATCCTAGTTGGTAGTAGATCCTAGTTGGTATTTCGAAAATCGTTGAAACATCTCCTTTGAGACGATTTGATACCCTTCCCCATCAACAAGAAGGACAAAAGTGGAACAGCTCCAATGAAAGCAAATTACCAACACTTCGATCATAGTGATTGAATCAGACACTAATCCAAAACCCTCATCGTGCACTAAACTTACCTTTTAATTTGATTTCTAGCTTCACGTCGTCTCCTGGCTTCGCTACCAACCGCCCTTTTTCATCTAACCCAACAACGACGACCTCGTGCAATCTAGAGTCACCATCTGAAACAGAGCGTCAAAAAGGAGCCATCAACACATGCGACGCTAATTCTAGCAACGTAATGACTAAATGAAGAGATGCATGTCCAAACCATCCTCTAATGTTAAAGTAAAAACGGTTAAGTAGTTAGCACGATCGAATACTACAGGAGCGTGCACAACTGAACCTAAAACAGATACCCTCTGACACAAGCGCTTGTCTAAAAACAACTCTTGTGGTGAACTGAAGTGAACTGGTTTATCTGACCACAGTGTCCGTCTGTAAGCCACTTTAAATGCAATGTAGCGGTGCGCCAAATAATTGCTTAAATGAAAAAGTGCATATCGCATTCAGGGTAACACAAACCGGTTGTAGTAGAATTGCACCATGTTGATGGCGAAAACCGTAAGCAATTGTCACATGCCCGTGATTATTATGTCAATGGTGGTAACTTATTCTGGTTCAATTTGGTACAGAGTTCATATCGGCAAATCACATCAACCATTTCTGTCCTTTATCAAATATGTGCTACTGATCACATTTAGGAACGAAATAACTCGCGTTTGGCTTTTCAAGGATCTCTCTTCACTGACAGCGCCTTCCAGTCAAAAACTATGACGACACGCCACCAGATTAGTCCGCTTCATGAGATATAGGCCCGGTGGGACGAAGTCGAGTCTCCTTCTAGAGCATCCCACGTTCATTAGCTCCACGTTTAGACAGCAGTGATTTGTATGTTGGACATGGCGGTCGAATTCTAAAGTAAGACCTATGCAGAAACTTTACCGGCAACCGGTTTCATGCTCTCCAATTACCTGGCTCAATCGTGTAGTATGCATGATAAACTCAATATGTGCCACACATTCTAGGCCAGATACCAGGTGTAAGCGAACGTTCCAAGTAAATAGACAACATGCAACTCTGTGTGACACCTTCCTCTTACGCTGTACTTTTCAGCTCAGTCGTGCTCAAGTAGGGACATTCATACTGGAGTATGTAATGATCTGTGGGACAGCACAGCGTTAACTTTCACCCAAAGGAGAGTGCCTTATTGTCCGAAAGAACCACAGTTTTGTCTAACAAATGAAAACGCAAAACTCAAGCATAAAATGAACAATAGACACCATACTTACCTACAATAAAGTCGCTATGTCCTTCATAGTCCTCGTCTGGGTACTCACTGACTTCCAAGGGTGTTCTATGAACTTGGAACTCGAAGAAGGGCGATGCAACTTCTGTTCCAGGTGTAATGAGACTGTCGACGGCGGGGGTCGCAGAAGTATTTGCAACGATACACCTACCGCGTGCACCAGCTGCCTTTGGCCTGAGACCAACCAAAGTCAACTGACTTCCGAAAGGAACTTTTTGGATCAGGACTGCTTTGTGCGTTATAAAACTAGTGCTCACGGGAGACCCGTCACGCTGCTGTATCTCCCACCGATAAGAAGCATCGGCGATGGGGCTCATTTTCTGGGTATCTGTAGGGTGGACAAAGCAATGGATCATCGAATATCCATATTTACTTCGGGTATCAAGTTAACGTATGTAGAACTCTGATGCAACAACAGGGAAAGTACTCACCAATAGCTTTACAAGTCAGAGTCACCGTACCACTTTCTGGAGCAGAGACTATGCCGTGAGTTAAGCCCTCTACCTTTACAACCACTCGTCTACCTGAAAAAGACAACATCATGGTAAGGTAAAAATACCAGACATTAGTTCAAGGGACAAGATACGAACAACGTATGGGTAGGACGAGACCAGTGGAATGAACATTTATTTATCCGCGTGAATACCTTTTCGCACAGATCTCAAGTCATTTCATCCAAGTGACCTCACCTGAGGCCATCTAGCGGACACAAAATGACTACTATCAGAATTGGAGTACATCAGCCGTTTGATCGAGTAGACCCTAGGACACCATGAACACCAGCATTTACCAGACAATTGAATAATCGAGGAAATGAGGAAGGAATGGAGGTGGGTACAAATCCACTTATTCAGTAAAGAGTTAGGAGATCAGCATACTTGTAAGTTTCAAATGCTTCCCTACATCTGCACAAGACGAATGTCCGGGTGCGATCAAGGGTTTACTATTTTGTGGCTTGAGAGCCTGACTCAGGAACAAAAGCCGGTAACTTGATTTCCCGTCGTACATGAAGCATTCATTGCCGGTATGCAGAACACAGCCTACATCGGCCACAAACCTCAGTTTTCCAGGAATCAACAGTCCACTTTCTTCGCATGTGTGTTCGCTTGAGCACCAGTTGCTAAGCGGCACGATCTGTATGGAAGATGGTAGACAAGTAGTCTGTAACCTTACCATAGAGGTTGAATGGACTTACTTCCGTTGCCAATGGTAAACAGTAGGAGTGAAGAAGGCGGTGCTGTGTTTTGCTCTTCTGCAGACGAACTACGATCCTACAGTGGAAACTGTGGTAACCGCAGACACGTTGAACTACGGCATCGATGCAACTATTGCCCCATATGTATGTAAATGGTGCAGACAAGGCAACTGCAAACACAAGCAGATCGTTGTCGCCATCAAGACAAAATTACGATCAGATAGAAGTAGCTATGACCATAATCTTCGAGATCAAGGTTGAAAAGAAATTCAAGGAATTTCACAAATGCTATACGAAAGTTCATACTTTTACTGAGCAGAGTCAGCACCCCAGTTTACACAAGGAACAGAATGCAACGTTGGGCCGCTACATTACTCGCTTACGATGTTGTAGTGTACAACATGTCTATGAAGCACAACCGCCAAACGGATGTATTTTCTCGGTTATTGGCAAATCAGTAGTGTCAGTAAGAAGAGTCCATCACCGCAGCGATTTCCTTGAATACAAAGGTAACAAGTGATGCTGGGTAATCTCAGAAAGTCTCTTTCGCCAAGATATCAAATATCACACAACGCAGCGGCCGTAGAATAGAGGGACATGGGTGTTGCACAATTCTTCCCAGAGGAAGGATAAAATATTACTCGTCAACGGATGCCTTCTGCTTGTCAAACGAGATATCGTCCCCACGGAGTTTCGCTGGAGGCTTCCACAGCAGTCCGATGGAAGCCATCCAAGCAACAACAGGATGAAAATTATTGCACAGAGTTTCATTTACTGACCAAGCATCCACTTGGAACTGGAATTGATTGCAAATTCATTTCAAAGATGCGCACTTGCCAGCAGTGTATCCAGAAAACTGAAATCAGTCTATTTGGCCGAGTACTGCGCTAAACATTGCAGCCCATCCAGATAGTTGCCGGCGTTTCATCCTAAACCTAATGGACTGACAGAACGATCTGTTGACACCTTTAAAAGGAGGCTACTAAAAATAAGGGCTCGTCGAACAACCTCTTCGTGGTGCTAGCTGGGTGGTTCGGGTTAATCCTGTTCCAGCGAATGGTTCGGCAGCAGTGTTCTAGAAGGCGGTGGGTTAACACTTGGCAATCGTTCTCCGTATAAAAACCCCATAAGTCTGTTCAACACTGCGATGTGGAAGATGTGATTCGCTACTAAATGAAGTCACTGCACTTCGCTTCCACGGATCACCTTCCTTACTCCATAGACGTCAGTCCTCCAAGCCGAAGATTTCCTTCGAACGCTTCCCATGCCGACAACCGGACTGAACACAATGCCAAACACAGAGCCAATTTAACACATTCAGGCAACACAGATACCTAAATTCACACCTAGATACATTCAAATACACATACACACAGACCTATTACATTTTACATTTTTGTACAATTATCTATCAGTTCTGTTTCGATTACTATAATCATGCCTATACAGGTGTGCCTCGAACCGTCGAGGATATATATATATATATATATATATATATATATAATTTATTAATTACGCAGGAGACATTACATGTTTTCCTACTTATGTACAGAACCCCACCGATTCCCTAAGTGCCTAACCAGCTGTCACCCGTAGAGGCTCTAATGGAATAAAAAGTTCATATTATGAACGCGCTATCGGTTTCGAAGTAGGATACCTCAGGAGGAAGAAACCCGAGAATGGAGAACCGCTACAATCAGAGAAATAGCATACAAATATATTGATTCTGCGCAGGACAAATAGTTTTGAACAGCGACTACTACACAGTAAGACTGTGGTAGACAACATGTCTGATCTAAGGCGGACTCGCACAAGTACTGTATGAAGTTAAATTGGGTGATCGGATTTGAACGTGGTATGCTAAGCATTTGCGAACATTTAGCATCACGGCACACATAGATAACCGACAGTCACCACTGGATATGGTCCTGAACAGGATATGTCGCACAGCCTTTCCGGAAGAGCCGAAATTACAACCATGAAGCTGGACTGATGAGATGCGGAGATCCACCGTCAGAATGCTGCTGGATCAAAGAAGGAACACGTATGTCGAATTTGGTGGTCAAGGTCCAATCATTGGAGACCGTTTTTATGCTGGTCAGCTCAATGGAAGAGTGGATCAAGCCATCTCAAAACTGACTGGTCAGGAGCCAGTCAGTTAAATACACTGCTTTTCTTCTGAAATCGGTCAATGACAGGATTTTGGCATGGGGCAAGCCAATGAGAGTGCTTACCGGCCTGTGGTGATAGCTTGTAACGTAGGTCATTTATATTGAACTATATACACAGAGCTTCTTTGACTGCTAACGTTGCTGCATCTCCAAGCCCAACTAAAGGATGTCTGAAGGTCTTTGTCTTCTGGTTTGCTAAATGTCTGGTTCGTGATCCGAATAGCTGTATGAGTTATCTGTGCTCTCGGCGGAAACACAACAGGTGGCAACTCGGAACTTGCTCTGAGTAACATATCGCAGCGTTAAGATGGCTATTCGTTAATGCCTTGGTAATGGATTATTTGATTGACGATTCGTCAGATGTTTGTGCATCTGACGGCCACCGCATCCGCGCCTTCCCAATAGCAAGGAACATTACTCCCTGAACTGTGGCATTACCACGTCCTACTCAGACGTCAATACCAGTGGAACTTTATGAAGTGGAACATTAAGTTCTCAGATGTACTACCGAGAAATGACTACATGTTCTGCTTTCCAAGATTCAGTTTACTCCTAACTGATATAGCCGGTAAACAGTAGAAGGCCACTTATACCTTCGTAGAATTGTGTGGGAGCAAATGAACCTCGCCGGTGGTTTCGTTTATGTCAGCACACAATATTAACTAAACATTGTATGAGTGGCACAATTTTCGGGCTCACTTTTTTCGTACGGCTCAGGTCGGATGAGGACTCGGTCCGGATCGTCAGCCTCTGGATCGATCAGTATGAAGGGCCTAGAACCGTACACGACCACGGTGTCAGGCTTCGTTAGATTGCCGGTGTAAGTTTGGTACAGAACGAGACATCGACCCTCGATAGGACCGTTGCCTCGTAGGTTCGCTGGTAGCCGCTGGCTATATCCTCCAGGACGCACTGCAAGCAGATTACCTTGAGTTTCTACTGATTCCATGTAATAGCTGGGCAAAACCAGTTCTCCGGTGGGCGCGGTAAACGACCAATCGTAAGACACGTCATGCAACACAGCTCCTGTGTTAGAATCTAAAAGAAGTTGTGTCATAAATAGGTAGAGTTGGTGATGAACTACAAGTGGTTGCATTGAAAATTTTAAGTGGTCGTAAATGCCAATTCTAGGTAATTATCTTTAGCACGTAGTTCGGTCTGCGCAAACCGACGAAGGCTAGCCCTAAGTAAAACCGCGGGAAAGAATTGCATGACAGGGTAAAAGGTACATTTGTTGCGTAGGTACTAAACCCTTGTACCACGTTGCGTACCTGGTGTGCGTGATTTGTAGCAGAGTAAATGAAAAAAGCCAAATAGGAAGGTTGGGAATGGGGGAATCAGTTTATGAAGCTCTACAAACATAAAGTGAACCCATAGATAAACCAATTTTAGACTTTGTGGATTGCAATCAATATGCTTTGCACATCCCTCTTACTGCCAACGGAATTTAACATGAAGTCCTAGAATGCGCTATTCATACAACCATGCACACCGATCACTTACCGTAGGCTGTGCAAACGTATCTTCGATCGTCCTCCGTGCCAACCTCCCGGACTTCAACGGTTACCCGAGCGTCAGCCACTGCATACGAATAGGGAGAAAGTTAAAATAAGAAGAAGAAGGTACAATCAGCCCGACAGAACATTGCATGGCGGGCCACAGTTATCCGCTGGACGATTCTAATTGGAAAAACGTTCACTACTTAACAAAGATGCACTAGTGACTTGTTTTACTCTACTCAGTGGATTAGTCCTCAAAAACATGCCAAACCGCTAGCTTTCTGTTACAAATGATGAATGTTCCACATGTAGAAGTAGTTTCTAACGCAAATTTCACCGCAAAACCCGGTGGTATGAAGGATGAAAATGCAGTCAACCCGAGAAAGCGACCGCCTGTAACTCGGACAGTTACCTTTGGAGCTCGGCGAGTATTGAAACTGAAACTTGAGCACATTTCCCCCAATTTCGCTGCCATCTTGTCTCATGTGTGATAGTAAACGTTCAGTTCCATAGTACAAGTGTATCCATTTTCCACTCATCACATCGCACTTTGTTAAAATCGTCGCAAATGAAGTTCGACCCGAGCAAAGGTTATAAAGTTTATGTGGGTTAGTAGTTGGCCACTGGACGCATTTGGATCTATGTCAGATCAAACGTGTTCACAGCCTAACCGAGACACTGTGGAACGCACTCAGTGCCATCGCAACGGACTACAAATGCATGCAAATGCCCGCCAAGTGGTTAAAGTCCCACAATGTTGCAACTGTGATGTTTGCGAACCAGCTACCCACTTTCATCTGCCACCCTCTTCTGCAAGCCTCCAACCACCTAATTGGGCGAGTTTGTCGGTTGCCTTGCTCGATGTATCAATATCGTTAGTTAGTCATAGTAGTTATCAAAGCCGCACATCGAACTCACGCTCATCACATTTGGGGTCTTTGAGGTACACTCCACCAGTATAGATTCCGCAACTGCGGCTAACAGGCAAGGACCCTGAGAGAGAGATGAACTGCCTGCCGCGAACCGACGCTAACGGGGCCTACATACACTAGCCACCTGTGCGAGTTACCATGAGCGGTGAACAAATATTATAGCACGATGATAGAGCGATGAGGCGTGACGTCCACAACGACATGGTTCCAGCGAAACTATGTGTGCATTGGTATAAGTCATCGCTTTGACCAAATTGACCGTAACTGCACACATGGCAGCAGAGCACAGAGATTGAAGAGCAAATTGAACGCTAGCTGCACCCTGAAGGGAACTGCAATGCCCCGCCGACTTCACTGTGTGATGCGCTGACACTCCACTATTTTGAGTTGGATGGTGTCCCAACCAAAACCGAAATAAAGTCTCGGATGAACAGGGCCACACACAAGACAAAGCTTTCTCCGGGGGCAATACAAGAGAGGGCTAAACATCCTTAGTGGTTAGTTAACATCGATGCAATGTAACTAATGTGTAGAATGCTGTCCGCCATAGTTTACAATAGGGCAACGAATAAATAGAGGCCCGGACGTGCTCTTCTAGTTCGGCTGACTGCTGACCGAATAGTGGTCAACTGCACAGATGCAGCAGGTGGGCACGCAAGACTACATTGACTAACCGAGCACATATACTTCATCAGTCCAAGCATGGCTAAGAGCACAGCCGTTCACTGTGCACAACCTCACTTGACGAATGACTGCCGCCTTGCTCGCAGACCGCTCTTTCTCCACATTTTTAAACTGTTGCTTTTTCTGAAACAGGTAATAGAGTTTTAGTTTCTGAAGCAAACAATCCAATCACGGTTAAAACAACTCACTGTTCTTGTCCATGACAGTCGTGTCTACATGTTTCAAGTTTTTAGTAGCCAGCGGCAGTGAGCAACGAAAGCCGAATTTGTTGAGGCGCTACGGTGTTCGTAATCACAATATGCTTCAGTTAACCTTCTTTGTAGCCAAATTAAAGGGCACGGCATTCATAGAACATGAGTACCATGATAAAGCAAAGGATGGTTTTGTGATATTCTTGGTAGGCGATGTGTCTGGCAATGTACTACAGTACGGTCATATCACTTTGCGGGACCGAACCAAACATGGCAAAGGGGTTGATAATGATGATGATCAATGATGACACCCACCAGAATCAAGTCGAGTCAAACGATGCCCAGTGTCCCGAAAATGTATCTGGTGGTTCTTTTGTCTTTTTACTATCGTTCGTTGGGGTTGGCTATTAATACGGCCCTTTCGGGACAGAATTCAATGCGCCAAATACGACGACACTAATGGGTCCTTTGCTAATACCGCATGTCTAGCTACTTTAATCCAGCGAAGATGAATTTTATCCCATGTACAAGTGTTAGTTCTCACCTAACCTTTGCTAAAATTGTTCAGCCGTCTGACGGTTAATCTGCGCGATACATTCAAACAAATTGTGTGGCGCATGAGTCATGGTAACAGCTTTATTTAAAAGTCATTTGTCTTCAGTGATTCGAAAGCATAGTGAAGAGACGAAGTTCGACAGATGCATGCATCTAGTATGGTCTTTCATTGCTCATAACGATGACTAGTAATTATATACAATCGTCTGGGGATGCAAAGAGAGAGACAAACGGGAGGAAAAACGGACATCTGTATGTCCGTTGATGTCAAACGATAGAACATAATTGACAGTTATCGGCACAGAAGAAACGAGGCTAAATACAGAGAGCCAGTGGCATGGGATTGAACTCTATGATTAGTTACCTAACTTTCAGATATTATGATGTACCTTAGCTGGTCCCCATCGACGATGGCACAACAAAATCCCCCATTCGGAAGACAAACTTACGCTGGTGCGGCTGGACAATCGGGAAGTAGGGCGAGTAATAATAGACCAATCCATCGAAGAACCAACATCGACCTCGTAGTCCACCGGAGACGTCTTCGCGGATGTCGTCAAGATAGAGTTTCGTCCGGTCCGATCGTACCCGACGAGCCACATCGCCCAGATTTCCCACTTGACCACTGAGGTGTACGGGGAGCTGCCAGCCGATGGCCTGTGACGGCAATAGGATGTCCATTAAGGTATCTGTTTCAGTGTCTGAAAAAGTAGCATGGCCGGTAGTTGGGGAATAGTTAAGACACGAATTCAAGAAGCGATAAAACACATTTAACCCTAACCGATGTACAATCTTCGGGTGTAAACAAACTATCGGGAATCATTCTATTCAGAGGCGATTTAAGACCCATGAACTGAGAGCGCTATCCCAATCTGACCGTGGACATTATGGCGCCTGTGAAACATGTACGCAGTAAAAACTAACTTGCGCTATAAGGCGCTATGAGCAGATGCGCAGTTTTCGTCTTCACAAGTCCTCAAGGCTGAAGTGTCAGAACTTACCTACACTCATACCTCACTTGACTGTTCGTGTAGTAGAAGTTCCTCGCTTGGGTTCACTGGACCTAAGTGATTACTCTGGTCAAATCACTGGAAAGTAAGCTTACTTGCTTAACGATCTATCACTGTGCCATTGAAGATGTAAGGGTCAAATAAAAGAAATCCTGCTTTCATTGCCCGTAGCCTAAGCGAGCTTAACTTGTAATCTGACGGCGCGGGTTTGAACCTGCATAGAGACAGGGCGACCCTCGGAGTATCCTTAGCCCACGTGCGACCGGTGGTGGTTGCGCGGTAGCGAAGCTTCGGTACTGCGTACCGGCATGCTACTTGTAAAGTCCAAAAGGAAATTTGACATATCCCCAAACTGGATTGCTTACATGAGGACACGGTATGCCTATTCTCTAATTATCTTGCTCATTTACACTGCTTTACTGTGTCCTACGAGCGGTTAACATATCGTATATTTATTCCTTTCACTCGACCACTGACACATCCTTGACGTTTCAAGGTCATTCATATTATTATGTTACTGTGACACCGCCCAAATACTCTCTCCGCCCCATGCTGTAAAGTTTCTGCCCACTTGCACTTCGATTGCAAAACCTATTCGTAAGTCATGTACTGCATTTAATGTGCCTTATAGAACCACGGTTACAAAATAAATCGTTTTATTCTTCTGCCCAGACCGTGCATTAAGTCTAGATTTATTTGTTCGTAGTTTCTTGTTTAGTTTTCGTACGACGTACTTAATTTAGGCTTATTATCGTTGGCACACTACTGATGCCTTTTTATCCCGTCATAAATCCGTGAAATGATATTTCACGGGCAATAGTGACCGGATGCTAATGAGGTGGTCATGCTTAACAACCTTAAAAATGTCATATTCTATCAACATGCAACTGTAATGTACAAATTTCATCTTCACGCACAGGAGACAGTTACAAGTTAACCAATTTAAACAAGATGTACCTGTTTGCTGGGATCCTGGTTTCATATGTGTTGTATGTCGAACATGAATCTACTTTGCAATTATTCGGACTACCTGTATCTCGGGTTGGCAGTTAACGTTTCGATTTGTCCTCCTGTGCTCTGAAATCATTGTCTTCCTACTATGCACAGCCTGAGAGTCACAGGGTTGACAGTGACGCCTGCACACCATGGAAACTACCGAAAATCATTTCGTGGTAGGTAGCACAACACAGTTTGTGCTATTTTACCTGTCACATCCGCCTCCTTTGCCAAGCCCTTCTCTGAACCAGATCCCGTCTCAAGCACGCATCATCTCGCCTTTCACAGCTGTCGTCGTGATGCCTCCTCTGCCTCGCTCAGCCACATCCAACACACTTGAGGCCACAGGCCTAGGCACGTGATGTCAGTGTCCAACCCATCCTATGGTATTCAAGCCTATGTTAACACCCATCTCTGTACCAGTTCCACCAAGCCCCGTTGAGTCATCTGGTCGCCATCACTTTCTCATGATTTGGCACAGTAGTTCGAACTTCACTGTTGGGTCTGGATCGTAGACGCTCTGCCAAGCGCTGCTCGCGGAGCTCAGATTTAGTGACCACGGCGTAAGACCTCAACCCAGATGTGTCAGGTTCCACTATCAGATCAAGCAATCTCTATCTGAAGTATCCAAATCAGGACGAAACCTGTCGGTCAAGGAATGCGGTGATGGGATTGAGAAGTTGCTAAGCTTCCCACTTTGGATGCATTCCCTGTGATCGAAATAGCCGAGGTTTCAAAGCAAACCGTGGCTATACATGAGACTGCTTGTTACAATCCAGACACAGAGCCGGTACTCCAAAACCAACAATGGCGCAGGAAGAGCGAGTGAACCACTTAGCACCATTATTTCACGTAGCACACTTAAATGAGTGGGACATGTATTAGGCATGCCAAACCCACCGACCCCCGCAAACTGCGTTGTTTGCATGATTTAGGCGTGCATGGAAGAAGAGGTAGTCGATAGTTGGTAACTTGATTAAGAGGAATGAAAGTACTGGTCTTGGTTGGGGCCTCCGGAACCCCTGATTGGGGTCCAAAGGACGATGAACAGGTTCGGCTGTAATCACATGTTGACACTCCAATAGCCGACCTCATTGGGGTTTGTTCTGAGGCTCACTATCTCACCCCTTTTCGCTCAGCCTCCGCCTCCAAGTACTATCTCATCGTTGTTGCATATCATAGCATAGTAATGTGTTTATTTTGTTTTGCCACTGCGGCTGCTATTTTTTCTTTTTATTCCATTTTATTACCCCTGATTTCGTCGTATGGCGGCAGGATAGATGAGGTGATTCACACGGCTGAAATTACACCTTTCTTACATATGCATACCCTTTTCTTTGTTGCATGATGGCGTTGTTCTTATGTATGAAGCAAAGGAGCTAAAATGGCGAAGTTCGTAAACCGTTCCTTATAGATCACTTCCTAGGGCGATCAATGTGGCGTTGCCTTCATTCGGCCAGCCAATAGTACCACCGAGCAACCGCGCTGGAATTTCACTCTAAAGGCTGTGTTGCCATATGCTGAAGTTGTAATGTCGTAACGGGTTCTTTTTGCTGGGACACAGGTGAAGCATTTGTTGAACCAATCGCATCGCGTGTTTTCTTTCACTCTTTCTGGGTTTTCCAATTCTTCCAAGCCCAACTGTTTCCTATCCTACCTTGGATATCCACAAAGTAACGATTAGATCTTGTCCATGGCTCCCAGTAACTGGTCACAGAAACTCTTATGCTATGGAATATGTTAATGATGTATACATGTTGGCTTTATATATCAAAAAGATCCAACGAGGCGACACGTTAGTGAGCGGTTTTATAGAATCTTCCCACAAAACACTAAATAAAACGCTTCCTCACATTGTGTTATCTGCTAACAAACAAGTTCCTTTTTCTCACTACCGTCACGCAGCGACACATTTAAAGCGGTACGCGCTTAAACTGATGGCACAAGTCTTTGGATTTTCTTGTTTTCACCCCGGCCATCTTACGGAAATCGCTAAGCATCTTCTTCTTTACGCATGATAAATCATTCTCCATTATTATTATCATCATCAGGAATTGCTTTCCACACGCGAATGTCATTAGTTCGAGTTGTTTGAGACTGTTAACACACGTAATTCATAGTGAAACTAAAAACGTACCTCGTACAAGACAAGTGAGTTCCGCCAGCTCTTTTAGTCGAAGAGGAAGTGCTCCAAACTCGTTCAGCCCTTGTACATTCAGCTCGTATCGTTGATGCGTGGCTGTATGGGATATAACAGGAGCAAATCAGCCAATCGTATGGAAACATAGACAAACTGATGACACATGTCACCACAAATAAGATTATTGCATCTGGTTAAATGAAAGAGCAGCATTTTAACTATCCAGCATATAGGTCTGAAGCAAAATGGAAACGGTGCACTAAGGGAAGACAATAACAGATCGGTCACAAATCGAGTTTGGTTGAAGTTCCGTGCGTATTATTTCGTACCGAGCTCCATGCTTTTGACAGATTAAACACCAGTACTATGCATAGGTACATGGGTGATTGGGATCAAGTTAACCATGTGGACGATGATAACTTGGAGCACATGTGATAACTAGATGGTATCGTCAGGAATTCACAGGGCAGATGTTCCTGGCACTCAGAGACGTGCGTTGCCGGCACACTGCTGACGTCGTAACTGGTGCACTCACGTAACCAAATCACTAGTTACATGCATAATGGAATGATTGGTGGGACTACGTTAGAGCTGACTGCCCATCAGTCGCCTTATAAAGCAACCACCTAAAGGAAGCTTAACATCCGACGTTCCGCTGCTGAGCACCTAGTAAGTGGCTGAATAAATCAGCTACAGGAATGGTCGCTTTTCATCGACATATCAGTCCGGGAAACAGCCATCCGCTTTCTGGGATCCATATTCATTACTTTCGGTCAGTAGGGATGGCTGGTAGGAACTCGATGATGAGCAACCGTAGTTTCATGCACGCTTAGGGACATGAACCTGTCAATTATCAGAGGCCGACTCAGTCACAAATAGTTTGAATGGTTTGAAGTGAGAGGTCCTCTTCGATAGAAAACGGAAAATAACTTGAGGCGCAGGCTCACATGAATTGACGCTGACCATTGCACGTCAAAGGTAAGAAGTGTGAGCAAAAGACCAAATGACGTAGCACCAGGTACAAAGACCTACGTAGGCCAAACCAGATTTTCAATGATCGTTCCTGGTTACCGGCCGAGGTTATTTTGAGCACGAAGTGCTGCTAGTCTAACAAACTGCGATTATGCACGTCACTCCTTCTGTGGATACAAGACAAATCTGAAGAACAGTCACGAATAAAAATTATGCGTCCCAAAAGTGGATATACAAACAGTCTGGAAGCGATTTCGATAATATGAGCTGTACGCAATTGCGTATGTATCGGAAACTCGCGATTGTTCCACGTAACAACTCACTGTCCGCATAATCGGGCATAATCTCATCCTTTGGTGGCACGTTGATCAAAAAGTACGGGCTGGAGAACCGTCTTCCAATGAATCCCTTCTCTGTTGGGGACAGAGTGGCTTGGTCGTTCACCGGTATTAGTTCTATGACACATCGTCCCCTGGTCGGTTTAATGTCTGGTTGCGTCCGTAGCTGCATCATTTTCAACTCGCCTTTCGCCTCATTGGTTTGCACAGACTCGGCGACATCTAATGTGCTGGCCGGAAGACCGTTACTTTGTTGAAACTCCCAACCGTAATGAACAACCAAACGAGGGCTGGTAAACGTCTCTCCGGTACTTGCATCTGTTTAAGAGGATGGATAGGGCATATTAGGAAGAGGTTAAAACGAAGCCATCTAGGATTTAAATAGCTTGAAACATATGAAAATATTCATCACTAAATCCGTCGAGCGCTAGTAGACCACAACTCACTCACGTCCGCCTTCAATGGTAAAGGTTGCCGATGACTAGAGACAAATGGTGTATAACGCTCTGGTACTGGAAACACACTTTCGATTATTATTGCTTATGTTGCGATTGATATCACCTCGAATTTTTCAGATGCAATGCTGTGGAAACAGCAGCAGTGACTCCGGTGCCGCTTGCTTTGTTTAACGCATGCACAACTACTAGGAGGTGTAAGTGAAGTTCCCACTGTAAATCTAACATATCGCCTAACTTGATAGGTCTTGTTTGGGAATTGTGCGTGGGTCGAGGCACGCGCGTTCGACGCCCATATACGCTGGCATCACGAGTGCCTAAACGCAACCCCTGTTCTTCATAGTACCACACCTGACTAGGGGACTCATCGTCCTGCCCACTTAGGTGCCTCCATGATGGCCCTAAGAAATCTCACAACATAAAGTGGAAAACATCCTGTTCGATTTCTATACGAAGGGTTCATTCTCCTACCTCTCGTTCGGATATCCCACGCGGTGGCGATTGCGCTCACCAGCTGGTTTTGGGTAAAAGCATCCATTTTGTTGATTTGCTTCACTAATGAAAGTTGCATGGGTCAATGCAGTTGAGTATATCGACTCGGAAGTGCCTGTAGCTTGGTTGCTACGATATGCGGATTGGCTTTGCGTTACTAAATTACCGAGCAGAATTATGATAAGGTCACGTTCGTACCAACACATTACATCTTATTTCACTACGATGGCAAACGTCCACCTGACTCGTGGGACGCATCTACATAGCCAGCTACATGCTCCTTATATGTGGCATAAACTGGTTCGTGGTTTTACCTCGACACCCCTTCGCCTTTTGCGTACGATTCAAACAGTCCAAAAAGCGGGGGCTTGTTAAGTACTTATTGTGTGGAACGGCCACAGAAGACTCCCTAACCAGGGCAGACGTCCACGTATAATTGATGTGAGATGCCTCAGGGCCAATATCACGAGAATCAAGGGCACAGTTTACTCGGTTCAAGGAGATGGGGTTTCGTAGGACATCCAACTGTCGGTGTGACGAACTGTCTTTAGCGAGTTGCCCCACGGATGACACTAAGCAGTTCCGACACCTGCACCCTAGTTACTCGTATAACAACAGGATAACCCGTTGCATTACTGTGAGGCATCACCATGGTTGCTGTAACAGTACCTGGAGACTTGCGGGCGATATTTCCTGTTTCACCTACGAAATAATGCAGATTACCAATACCAGGGCGTAGAGAATTGTCTAATGTTCATGATACCTGAAGAGACGAAGCGCCTTTTCAGTCGCTTTCTGGGCGTTTGGTGAATGCCTTGCAACATCTAACGCTGACTATTTCCGTTAGAATAATATCGGTTCATCAATTTCCCTTACAAATCGCAAAATCCAACAGTACTCTGACATCGGTTGTGTGTCTTCACTCAGATTGAGAGTTTGTAGGTTTTCTTCTATAGGATCGGGCCTTGAGATGCAGTCTACTCGCAGTAGATGAGCTAGAGCGAGCCTACTGCAACAGATTCCAGAACATGGAGTAAGGGTCCACTTTAGTTCGGATATTGTGGGATGGGTGGGCTTACGGTATGACGCTATCAGACCAATATGTGTGCTCAAGATGTCATAAGGATCCGTAGGCGTACGTGGAAGCATTTTTGGAAGATCGAGTAAAATACCGTCTTCAAGAAGTCCGATGTGGTCCCATTGTTCGTGATGAGGCAGCATGTTTTAGATTTGACTTCTGAGGCTACTTATTACTCTGAGGTATTGATTTAGGATGTTCGTATTATGGTTTCCACCAAAGACACTGTTCCACAGACTGGGTACGTCTGCCTTTTACTAAAGTTCTTGTTCGGTTAACAGTTAGCACTTTACAGGGTCCACTGGTAAGCTGCATCCTTCGGGTTTAAGCGCAGCAGCCAGGTACGAACCGCGCGCCTCCATCTCACGACAGTTCAGTCATTTTGCATGCGGCTGACAATATTGAGTGAAGCCAAATCTTGCAGGTTCTGATCTACAACAACCTGCGAAGTTGCCCATCTCCATATCCCGACCATCTCTCTAAGTTGACCGTTTTATTTTTCATTGATTGAACGTTCACACTATAAAAGGTATGGGTCCAGACCTCGGTATGTATGCTATTTTGGTCCAGTCACTTAACTGATCAACTTACAGAGGTTGTACTGTATTCGACTTCCCAAAATCTTCCAATTACTTGTTACCATACCCACCATTTGTTGCACCGCGGTCGGTTGCGCCAATAGAAAAGAGAATGATTCAAAGAATACGAAATTAGCACACCGGATCAATCCACATATTGACGTAAAGATGGAACCACAGTTAGTGTAACTAAGGTGCACTTACTCATGACAATGCAGCTCAGATTAAAATCTTCTCCTGGAGAGCTGGTCAGATAGCCGTTTTCATCCAACCCGGCAACACTGCCCACCAAGCCGTCTAGTGCTTCTGTGGAAAAGTATGGAATGCGACATAACAGAATAAAATGATGACGAAAAGAAACGGTAAGGGCAAATTGCTACACATCGATCCTGTTTTAATATGACATATGAGGGGAACGAATGCAAAGAGCAAAATTCCCAGATAGTCACTAATCTTTTGGGTGAGTTCCTGGTAGTAGTTACTTGCCTTACCTCTGCCCTTATTTGAGAACACATTTCCTTGACAATCCACGGCAGGAATCACTGCCAGGTAACTGGGAGGTAAAATTTACAGAGACCACAATAAGTCCAACTATCAGTGCCTCGGTTGGTTGTTGAGATCATGATAACAGCTCTGCAGAGGCCTAGCAGTTGAGGTTAGCTGTATATGTGTATTGCTTTATAATAGCAAATTTAACTGATGACTTCGAACTTATGTATTGAGGCTAGGATTCCTGTGCGAAATGACAACCCACTATGACTGCAGTTCAGGTTGCAACCGTAACGGCTGGATCAAAGAAGAGAAGTCAGTATCACAGGCTAATCGATTATCTAGGCAATTTTCGTCTCCTGCAGGTTCCGATACTAGTTGTTCGACATACAATTCGCGGTGTTAAAGTAGTGCGACAGCTTGTGGATGGCAAGAAGACAGTTCATGACCTTGAGTGGCAAACCGCGCTTGATAGCAATTCATGATTCGACGGAGTCTTATGCAGACTGAAAACATCCTTTGAGATAGATTGTATGTATTCCTTCTGCAGCTCAGGCATATGTCTAAAGGCATACGAAACAACAGCCACACATTGTGCAAATGCCTATTACTGGCACCACCGCATGAAAATACAAGGCGTGTAGCCCTACACTAGTGAACACTACTTTGAGGTTATATCCTCGTAACAATTCAGGTGAAAAAATGACCCCCAGTTTAGAATTTCTGAGTGACAATAGGTAAGGCGTTCTAACATAGAGGTAAGCAACTAAGTCAGTAACGATTGTGGCCCATTGTGTCATCGAAGTATGAATTAAAACAGTGAACAGGCTGACGTACCTGGTTTGGCTGGAGGGATAAATACGCGATGACCCAAACCACTGTCATCGATAACGTCGAATTTAAAATACGGTGAGTAGTGAACCATTTCACGTTCGCCTTCGCCTGTGGATTCGTCTGTTATCACAACCTTGCAGCGACCTCTTGCTGCACTTTCACGCCGTAGGCCTCTGAACATGACTTGGCTACCGTTAAAGTGGATTTCACCGAAATTCGGTTGCACTAACACGGCGGTGTCTACCGATGAACCGTCTAGGCGGCTGAACTCCCATGAGTACTGAACACTCTCCATCGGTTTTGAGCCCTTGGAGCGGTCTATGGGACAACGAACATGAGAAATGGAAGAATGATGTTATAAGGTGAACATTCACAGCGAGAACCAAAACTACTTTCTGCGCGCGATCTACACAATCACCATATGAAATGTCAAAGTATCTCAAACGTTACGGGAATGCATATCGCTTGGAAAAGACAAGATATACATCCAACATTCTGCTAAATATAGCAAGTAGGTGCTTAGAAAGTGGGCATACATGAGACATTGGTAAGCGGGTTGATGTGATCTAGCACATACCGAGTGCCTCGCAGATGAGACGTTTGACAGATCCTTCGTTGGCAAATAGCATTCCACGAGAATCGAGACCATCCACTTTGACTTGGATATTGTTCCGCTCGTCTGCAAAACAACATCAGTTGCAAGGTTAAGGCGCTGGTTTGGAACCGAATAACTGATATAAAAGATCATGGCTCGTATATCGATTTGCATACACTAGAAGCTCTGGGAAATTCACGTCTCAGATGAGTGAGACAGCGTAGGTGGTAAGTGCAATTGCTTAAACGAGGGAGCCATACTGCGACCGTACTTAGCAGAGATAGATGTATTACGTATTGATTAAGCAGCAGCAGCAGCAGCAGCCTTACCGCTTATCTTGAGAAATCCTTGCATAAATGGTAGTTCAATTGTGCGGGGTACATAAACACGATGAACACTGGCACGGTGTAGAGGAAATAACACTGTATTACACCAAGGAGACAGTGTTTGGTATGGCGGGACTGACTCTAATACCAGAGATGCAAAGGAAATTATTGCAGCCCACTCATCATCATCATAGTACACGTTAGCTAGAGGTGAGGAACACCTCAGCTAATGTGCCGCAATACATAGAAAAAAGGAGAAAAAAAGAAATGCAACTGGTGCAAGCTGGCTGAGCTACCGGTAACGGATGGGCATCGTTCCGGTAAGCTACCAGCCGGCTACTGTGCACCAAAAAATTACTATACAAAATTATATAAAATTAAATAATGAGATCGTGATTGGAGGGGGAGGCTAAGAGGGATGGGGTGGGACAAAGAAACTCACAACACGAACGCCACTGAGGTCGGCTCCTAGCCATATCAGCAAGTGTGTCCAACCAAACGTGTTCATCGTCTTTCGGACCCCAACCAGGGAGCCGAGACGCTCCAACCGAGGCCAGCTCAGAAGTGAGCGCCTTCATTCCTCTGGACTAAGTCATCGCTTGGCCACCCCTCCTCTTCTTCCATCCACACCCCCGGCGCGCAAACAACACACGTCGCGGGAGTCGGTGGGCTGGCATGCGTAACACGTGGCCGAGCCATCGGAGCCTGATGCGTGAAATAACGGTGCTGAGCGGTTCAGTTCGTTTTCCTGTGCCATAAACAAGGCGTCGAACACGCTCGTTGCTCAACGCGGTGTTCCCACCAGATGTGAGCTAAATTACGAAGGCACCGGTGGTCGAACGTAACTAGCCTCTTGAGGTCCGCTGCTTTAAGCGGCCAGGTTTCACAACCGTACAGTAGGGTCGAACGTACTGCTGCATTGTACACTCTACCCTTCAGGGTGAGAGTGATGTCGCGCCGGCGCCATAAGTGGCGAAGGTTAGCAAAAGCGCCCCGAGCTTTTGCTATACGATTCGTGATCTCATCTTCCATCCCACGGGCGCTGATACAACTTCCCAGGTAGTTGAATTTTTGAACGGCTTCTAGCTGATCCCCACCAAGGGTCAGCGTAGGAGGCGGTCCAGACCAAGCTTGGAGAAGCGCTTTGCACTTCGACGGTGCGAAGCAAAGCCCGAAGTGACGGACAACTAGTGTTAATCTGTCCAGTGCCGCTTGGCACGTTTGTGAGCAGTCACAGATCAGGGCAATATCATCAGCATACTCTAAATCAAGAAGTCGTTCTCCTGGGAGTAGCTCCACACCTTCTAAGTCGTGTCCTGTGAACGCGATTTCCATGGCTTCGTCAACAGCGAAGTTGAAGAGGAATTGCAACCCACTAGAGAGTGGAAAACTCTCTGGTGTGAGATAGGCATCCACAGTGCAGACCTGTGGTTAGTGAAGAACCACGCGCTGTAGACGGAATCAGTCAGTCAATAATCTGATGCTGAAAATTTCGTCTGAAGTTGCTGACGTGAGAACTGATTTTGATAATTTCTGCAGTGTAAACAGCAATTTCCTTATCTGAATAGATGATTCTTTTCCGTCCTCATAAACAAGCGGTCGCATCCTCCGTACGAATCCGCGTAGGGGCGATGAACTTGCAGTATTGTCAGCTCTCAGGCGACTAGTGGTGATCACGTGACAACGACACGTCAGTAAGGTTTACCGGCATACTGCTGCCACTTGTATCTGCCTTAGACCGAAATTTCTAAATTGTCGCTTTCGGAGTGGAGCACTGAATGTGCAATGCTTCGATCGATCGGCAGTCGACCGTCACCCAGGTGAAAAAGCAGCAAAAGCATTCTCTGCGAAGCGGTCAGTGGGTCGCTGTGCAAGCAATTGAGAAAAACAGCCTGGCCGTATGTGATGACCGGTCGATGGATACCGTATTGCTATCACCACAAAAGCTGTTATCGAATCGTGACTGGCTTCCAACAAACCCGTAAGCTTTTAGTAGGCTGCTTTCGCTGCTACAGGGAATCATACTGCCAGGAGCAAATTGTAAGGTTACAGCGTTGTTCGCTTTACCGTTTCGATCACGTGTGTGTTACAGCTGAAAATTCACCCTTTATTGATGCATAAAACGAATTCTTGACTTGACTTGACATGGAAATGCTCTTAGATTTCAGTCTGTCCTGACGCACTGGTGGCACCACTAGACAGTACAACAATATATGAATGCAAATGATGCCCTCACAGTCAGACAATTGCTGGTTGCACAAATTGATCAAACCTTCGATAGTGTCCATCGTGTGCAATAGAGAATATACATTCATTCATTTATTTACCTAGATTTACATGAAATTTGTGAAATGTGTGTAAAAATCAATGAACTAGATGTTTGAAGTGCCCTCCGTCATCTTGGCTACAGAGGAGCATTTGCCGGATGGTATTGGCGAGGATGCTAACAAAATGTCAGACATTTGTACTGTTAAACAACAACCTACCGAACAAACTCCTGGGAAAGAAAAGGAGCCGAATGATTTTTGGACCAGGCAACCTAGCCTAGGCCATGAATTTTGCGCTGTGTTACACACCTTAAGCTTTATATTGCCGTGGGTTGGTTGTTACCCAAACAGGTTGCGTATCTTCGCCATACAGAGGGCACACTGCCTTTTTGGTGATCAAAATGGAAGGTACGTTCAGACTATTTAAAAACGAATGGCCGAATTACAGGCGCTTCCTTGACTCGTATGAGTACAACACTTCACAGAGAATGCTTTTGCTGCTTTTCACATGGGTGACGGTCGACTGCAGATCGATCAAAGCGTGACCGTACAGTGCTTCTGTGGTGCCTGGCTCACGTGCAGTCCTCACATCCGAACAGTGTGCGCTTGCTTGATCTTGCCCTGCGATCCACGCATGACAGGTTGAATGCGGCTGTGCTGTTTACTAACGTTCACGTCTCACAGCCGAACGGCTCCTTGTACACAACGATCGTAAACACACATGGCGCGTCTGTATGTCCCACCTCACCCCTGCTGGCAAAGCAATTTACGCCGTTGGACAGTTAGCAATTCAGCGTACTGGTGTACGCCAGCACCTGAGTGCAGCCGCTCCTAGTTCCGGACCAGATAAATAAATCTCCCTGTGCTAACATCCTCTAGGTGTATAATAAGAAGGTACTTTCATTTATTAGTTTACACAACATACTTATCATCAGCATAAACTACAGCGGTACATCAGTCATTTGAACTGATGCTTCGCTGCCACACAACCATGAGGAGTTAAGGAATAAAGAATAGTAAGATGGCAAGAAGAGGAACCTGCCTGAAAACACTACTTCCCTAATCATACGTTCAGGGTCAAGGCGCCTGCACCTTGAGTTAACAACATAAAGTCACAAAATCTTGGCTATTGTGCAAAGATGGCGGCCTCGGCGAGACAGCTTTCTTGCGGCTTTCACTACCCCGCGTCATAATCAGCCATTACGCCGCAGATAAGCCAGCACCAAACACACTCTAAACAGGCAATCCGACTAGAAGACGGCAGCAAACGCGTCACTGGTGTCGGCTCCGAGCCATGCCCTGAAACTTCTCGAGTCAAGCACAAGGCGGGTCATGTGGACTCCAGCCTGGAAGGCGAGGCGGAACAACGGCACCCAGGTTGATCGTAAGTGACTTCATTTCCTGTTGCCAACTCAACTTCTGCCCACCTCCAGTCTTGCTCCACCCTACACCTGGTAGACTAAACAAGGCCATCATCAGTAAGCGGTGACCAGGCATACGTAGTACTTGACCAAACCAACGCATATTCATTCAGTACTGTCTGTTGTTCTAAGGAACTAGTTTGGTTATCACTGCCTAGCACTCGCCTACACACATCATCCTTGCGGAAAAGCTGGTGCCACTTGACTCTAGCAATATTTCGCAGACAACGATGAGCAAAGACTTGAAGACGCCTCAGATCTACAGACCGAAGGGGCCAAGTCTCACTCCCATAGAGCAGGAAAGTTCTCACTTTGACCTAGTTAATACAGCCTTTCAGAGAGAAGGTAACTCCCTTCTGTCGCTAAAGATGCAAGAAGGCAGTCCTGGCTTGGGCAGTATGTGAACTGACTTCAGTTGCTATGTATCCAACGTTGCTGTTGCAGCCGCCAAGGTAAGTAGAGTAATCAATCACCTCGAGTCGCACGTTATCTAGGGCCAAATGCTCAGCAAGTAACTAGTATTCCTGCAGCAACATACCAATTGATGGGACCACTCTATACAGGTTATTCAGGCCTGAGTGTGCCGCCGCAACATCGTCTAAAAGCAAGACGATTTCGTCCGCATAGTCTAGATCAACTAACCTTTGACAGACAGGACTTCAGCGCCTACACCGTGAGATTCCGCAAGGGAACACTCCATGATAGAATCTACGACGAAATTGAACAAAAATACGGAAATCGGAAAACACTCACGAACGCCACTTGTTGTCGGGAAGCTATCCGACAGGTCACTGTAGACCCCGACGCGGCCTGTATTGTTCGAGTATAGAGCAGGTAAAATGTTCATATATTTCATGGGAACACCTTCCCGCGCAAGTATTTTGGTCAGAATGCATCGATCGACTGAATCGAACACACTCTTGAAATCGAGGAATACTGCTATTATCTGCCTACGGCATGCGTGGCGCTGCTCCAGCACCTGCTGCAGAGTGAATATATGGTCTATACAGTCACGTCCTGGGCGGAAACCGGTCTACTCTTCCCTAAACCGGGATTCCCATTCCACACTGGGGCGACGAACGGGAATTTAGACCAGTGATTTTGTCAAAACTGGCGTTAGGCTAATACCCCTGTGGTTATAACAGTCTGTGTGACTGCGCTTCTTGTATATTGCCACTATAATCGATTCGTTCAAATTAGCCGGGACACTCTTGCTTCCAGATACATTCGAATAAAGAGGTCAGTGCTTTGCAGATGACCACACCTCCATCCTTAAATAGTGCATGTGGGAGGGAATCCGGGCCAGCCGCACAAAACGATTAAGGGCTGTGATCGCGTTTCGGACCTCGGCCTCCGACAGAGGCTTTAAACTAACCGTCCATTGCTCGTCCTTCATCACTTGAGTAGGAAGAGGTCCGGGAGCAGGGGACCAGCTGAACTGATCTTCAAAGTGTTCAGCCCAACGAGCTATACAGCGCTCCTTATTGTGTATCAGCGCACTCGCGCTCTCTCTGATTGTCTCACTGATGCCTGGTTTTCTGGGACCAGTGGTGCGGATTAGCTGGAAGAGCTTGCAGTAATTGCCTACTGCTCCTGCCTCCTCCATTTCTTGAGCCCTAGTAGTCCACTAGGCTCCCTTGTCAGCAGATAGGCTTTGCTTCAGTTCACGCTTAATAGCCCATCTGGTCACATTGTGTTCAGAGCCAGCCTGGAGGTGTCTTCTGGATTCCAACACGTTCACCGACCTCCCGGTATCCAGTGACTGGTGCGGTGACGATTGATAGTGCCACAAGCAGATGCTCCTGCGTCGTGCATGGCGGCCGAGATCCCATTCCACTTAAGCTCAGTGTCATTAGGACAAGACAGCGAAACTTCGGTACGCAGTGCATCTTGATAGGCTTGCCTGACCGAGGGCTGAGACAATTTCTCAATTGCCAATTGGAGAAGATGCTTGGTGCGCCTTCCGGTAAAGTTCATGGAGAAACGACAGCGTACCAAAGCTAGATCAGAGTCGACTCAGGTATTCCAGAACCAGCGGCAATCCAGGATGGAACCACGCCACCTGTAACTTATGGCTATGTGAGTTACCCGGGTCCATCGATGGCAAGCCACTGAGGACGCCAAGAGGCATTTCAGCGCCCGCTGTGTCCAAAAGTATTGCTTTTAAGAAACAAATGGTGCTCCGCACACAGCACCAGCAGACACTAGCTGTTGTCAGTCCTTTCAGAGTTAAGTCTATAATTACCCCCACCTGAGCTTCTGAAGTGCTCAGACGCCCTACTTGTGTGTTCACATACCCTGCAAGTATTATGATACCTGAAATGGTAACAATGCGTAGTAGCGCGTTCAGTTCGTGATAGAAGTTGTCGTTGGCAGCATTAGAACTGCAGTCGGTGGGAGCATAAGCGGATGTCACAAACAAACGACGTTTTGTACTACTTTAGGAAGCAACCTTAGTTCGTGTCGTCAAACGTGCTGCACACAAACGGCTGTTCACCGGAATCTAATCAACCAACGATGGCTCCGCCTTGGAGCTTAGCATGTTACCTACCCAAGCTTGACCGGTGAGCGCTGCATCTGCGTCTCCTGATGCGTGCAACCAATGGCGAGAGGACAAGCCGGGCGTAGTTAATTCAACAACTCCATTAAGATCATTGATCTTAGTTTCGGAAACACCACGCATCAGTACCCAGTGTGTCCAGGGTGCGTGCGAGTGCATCCTGTTGACCTATTTGTCTCAGAATGAAGACGTTGAACGCCCCCAGAGAAATGGGGCAGCGTGGCCTTCTAAGGGACGGTGGCCGATAGGCGTCCGGTGGGTGTTGCGGGAAGTTGGCTACAGATGGTTCTAATCCAGTGGCACTTCGGTTGCTGTCATCTAAGTTGGACATTATAGAAGGTTATTGATGGGGGACTGGGTGGGAGCAAGAGAAACAGGTGGGAAAGAAGGATGGGAGGCGCCAACAGTAGCGTGTTTTCGCTTATCCACCCTGTTGTATGCAGCAGCTAAGGAGACCCTTGATTATCTGCGAGACGGCCGATGCAGGATGAGGTTTATGTTTGAAAAAGATGTCATGGTTGTATGTGGCCTGAGATACTGCCAGGGTGCCCAGACCTAGACAGGAGGACGATTAGGGTCCTTATCCAAAACCTTTGGCTCAAAAGCCTCTCCGCAAGGCAGCGGGGAGGTGGCAGTGATTTAGTTTTACAGAAATGGACGCCATCCCATTTCAAACTCCCAACCTGGAGGACCAGGAGACTGAGTTTGCTGACCTCCCACCACTGACCAACCTGGTAGGAGTAGCACTCAAGGTGCCCGGATGCATCACCCAGTATTGCTCAATGGGTCAGAGGCAGGCAAACCGTCGCACCACGTTAAGGTCCAGTCTCGTTGGTACGGCGCAACATACGCAGGCACTCCGGGGAATCTCCAGACGGCTACACTTATAACGGAATTATGTACATATGTAAACGAATCTATTGCACTGCAAACCAATATTTTAGGTTGAATTAACGTGTGAGTGATTACTCTAAAACTATCTGTCAATCGTCCGCCATTTCAAATAATCCATCTTATTAACCCCGGAATAAGACGCACTCACATGCCTCATCGTTTGTCAAGCCCTATTGTGCACAGCAGAACTCCTAGAAGTGGTTTACGAAGGCTGAGTTGGATAGGAATGAGGATAACTTTTGACAGGGGGAGGTATGCATTCTGTGTGATAGTTAAGCAGAATGCTGATCATCTAAAGGATTGATCAAACGAAAATCAAAGGAGCAAGGATATGTGTATGCATTTAATGAGAACGTCCAGTGTTAGAAGGATGCCTACTGGACATTTATTTTTGCTATTTCTTACTTACCAGCTTTCGTTACGCTATCGTTTCCTTATGGATAGATGCTTAAACGTATCTATTTATTAATTTGCGTGGATGGTATACGTCGTTTGTAATGGATGTTTTCTCAGGGTCCCATTTCCGTTACTATCGTTCTCTCGGACGCGCGTGATTAGCGTTTGTAGTTCCGTATTTACTTATGTCAGTCAGCGTCTCCCGCGTTAATGATTGGCCCGGATGTGCTTCAGTAGCTTTACTTCACCCACCGCTATTGGACCCCGTAACAAGGTGCAGTATTCCCATGCATTCAATTCTGTCCTGGCTCGTCTTCCGTGTGCTCATTGCGATCGTGGAGTGTGAAGAGTTGGCGGTAATACATTGTCCAGATAACCAGAGTAACAAAGTATATAAAATTTCCTGTAAGCACTGACTACTGACACAATAGTGACCCCCACGCTGACACACATTTGATAACGATCCTTGAGGCCCTTGGGGTCAAGATGAATAGGTGTATAGCAAGATACCAGCGTTTGTATTGCCGTTTCGTATGTCGCATAACTGACCAGCGCATTCAACCACCAGAAGCCACCACAACAGCACTGCATAACTGGAAGCGAAGTACAGGACATGGTGGAAGAAAAAGGATAGACAAACTGCCTAGAAAATCTGGTCTGGAAGAAATTCCCATGTTGACGAATTAAATAAGCTGACGTTTTGGGTGGGCTCTCTCGTATTTCATCAGGAAGACCCTGCTAACTTAGTAGTTAAAGGGCACAACGCATCATGAAATGCGATGAGCTGTTAATTGTGGATTCACAACAAACGGATAGTATAGTATAATATAGAGTTTCGAACTAACAGTAATCGAGTCAATACGTCTATATAAGTAAATCATTCTGAATACTCCTCGTCTCGAAATAACAGATGTTTGAGTATGTGATAAGACTCAGGGGTGGTATTGTTACAGTTCAAATTCCGGGCGATTAAACTGCATTATTAGCGACCTCTATCCTGATATGGGTGTATGAATTTTACGTAACAATGGGAGAAGGTGGTGTAAGAAGGACCGCGATAGCACAAACCAGTGCTTGAGGGTAAAAGTATCGATGAGAACTAATCTTTCGACGGAATATATTTCCATGTAACAAAATTGCAAGCGGAGCGAACCAAGAGGTTTATCACCGTCGGTGTGAGGGTTTTCAGCCATGAAGTGCTTCGCAATAGATCCCGCCGGATTTTTTGGTTGAGTGGCTATTTAGCTGTCAACACCAAGCCCTCGCAACTGCTGGTCAGGCCATGAAATATCACTGGTTCTTCTACCATCCCATCAACTGAATTAGGAAATCAAATACATACATTTAGAGCGTCGACCATGGCGCAAATATGCTTTGTTACTGCATGAAGCACGGCGGAAATGCACACACTCCCATTATTGATCTTACTTGTTATTCGTTGAAAGAATTGCGATAGACAAAGACGTAGCTCTGAGAGGATACAGCTTCCGAGTGTAGCCTTTGCGAGAATTAGCCAATGAGGTGTGTCACCTCTCTCATTCTCCTAACACGAAGCCTGAGCTTCAGGGGGTAACAGAGATCGGACGGTATGATAAATCTGTAACACAAGCGAACTGGTAGACAGGGTGGCCTAGTAACCGGAGACAAGGCGGTGAACGCAGATTATACAAAACCATACCAGACAAATTCACGTGAGCAAGTAAGTTGACGGAACAAGCCGTACGCATGAAATGGTGCCGTACGATTGGCCAGAAGCTATGTCAAGGGCAGTGCCCTTCGGGTGAACAGGCGTATCCACCCCGAAAGGTAGTGTCGTCCAAGCAATAACACGCCGACTGAAGACAATACCAGGTTACCCACAAGCTAGTATTCATGTTAGTTGGCTCGCGTTATCGTACAGGCTTAACGGCACAACTTACCTTTCCTCCAGAATGGCGCATGCTATTGAATTGAAAAGAGATTCAGCTTAAAGAGTATCATATTCTGTTATCATTCCCACCGTTCATCCCGGGCAAATCGGACAAATGGACATTGGGATAGTAAATAAAGCTCTCAAGACTGACTCATTAAACCTCCACGTGGAGCACTCACTTCGAATCCTGCGCTCCTTCTCATAATCCGGTATTACTTCTTTGGGATACACAACATAATCAATTGTGGATGAGTAGTATGTGACCGCCTCTCTCCTCTTCGTCGCGAGACACTCGATCATGGCTGTTGGTCTAGGCGCTGCTGGGGAGGTGCGCGCCGCATCTATCAAGAAGTAGCCAGCGTCACCATCGCTGGAGGATTGTGTTTGAAGTGAACCCTCTGTCAATTGGCTAGCTGCGACCGGCTCACCAGTGAGATTGAACACGCGCCAGCCGAAAGAGAAATCACCTCCACTGAGGCGCTTTTTGGTGACCGCATCTGATGCAAAATAAATAAAGCATTGTATGGCATAAGCAGAAATTCATCACATGTGGACTCGGTCAGACAGCCATCAAACGTCCTGGAAAACATTGTACGAGAATGTACATCAGGAGTTCGCGTTCCATCTGACTCCCGTGGGACTCGAACTCGCGGTTCTACTGTTGCTAGTCTGTGGCTGAGATCACTGAGCTACCATAGACAGTAAAAAGTATCATGACTAAGTTAAGTACGACAGCGCTTGAAGTGGACGCGGAAGACCTGAAGTGAAACTCAACGCAGTTGCACGAGGACAAAGTAAGGCTCGATTCCGACCACTTGGCATGGAGTCGGAAGATATTCAACATCTTGAAGTATGCGTGGATCCAATCTAGTGTTGGTGATCTCAAAAAGATTTGTAAACAATCGATTGGAAGTAGTTTTAACTAACAGTGACTTTCAGTACAAAAGGTTAAGTGGACAGCAGAATGTGCTTCTCGGTACTCTTTTCAAGCAAAAGTCAAATTTCGGAAAGCTAGGCCGGAAAGTAGTTCATCCTGATCGCAATGGCAACTGAGCAGAAACTATCCGGAGTGGTTCAAGAAAGGCGCAAACAATATAGTGTGATGCGCTGAGTTAATGTTAAGGCCCCTTTAACGGTCAGTGACGCAGGCGTTCATACATGACTTACCTATGGCGATGCAGGTCAGGTTAACGCTGTCTCCCTCTGAGATGCTCACGTGCCCAGTGACCTCATTGGTACCGCTGATCACGAGTAAAACGCCTTCGCTTCCATCTTTGAAACAGAGGCACAAAAGATGATGTCTGAGAATAATGAAAAACCGGATACACACTCTTCCGAGAAGAGTGAAGCTGCGGTTGCAGTCAGATGTGTTTCAATCATGGTAGGGAAATGTGACCCACCACGGTGCAGTGGAGATCCCAGCAACCGTGCAATACAATACAAGAATAAAATGCTAGCCGGATGCTTGTGTGTCTTGAGTTCACAGCATCACTGTGCCTAGGCTATAGCACTAGAAGTGAGCACAGGTCAGTGGGAAAATTTAACAGAGTTGCATGGATTTGTAGATAGCCTACAAATCCGACTCCTCCTGAGGAGACTGGAAATAGGTGGTCACATTCGTTTGCTAGCACTAGAGCACAAGTGAATGGAACCCACCTCCTTTCACCCACTTCCTTCCTCCATGTTCTATCTCTGGTCGTATTACTGCGCCCTTCGGTAACCGACGAACGCGGAACCCGAAGTCTGGGGATACGTATCTTGCTGAATTATTGGTCGCCACGCAGCGAGCTCGAATCCCTGCAGAGGCAGGACTCAGGCCTTCATAATTCACACGATTTTCATCAAAAAGCACTTTTGTTGCTAATAGATTTGGATGAACGCGAGCGCCGTTCAGCTTCTCAAATTCCCAGGAATAGACTGCCCCCGGTAAGATAAAATTGTGATAACCATCTATCAAAAACAAAATGAGACGAGCAGATAGGCGGTAGGTGAGTATCATTTTGAAGCATCACTATCTCTATAATCGCATTAAGCTACCATTAGGAAAAATGCACTAGTCTGTGTTACCGAGACCACTAAACAAATTATGCAAGCTAAATAAGGTACTTATGGAGTCGCGTTTGGTTCCACGTTTGATGGTGTGATCTGCACGAAGAAAGTCGATCATTACGTGTACACCTTTTCTCTGCAACCATGTATCACCCCTTTCGAGGCCCCATCGACGTGAGGTGCAATGGGGTTCAAGTAACCGGTAAACATTTGTCTACCAAACTGATATACATTTTTCACAATGATGCGAAGTTCAGGCGGATATTCCGTTGTATAACGAAGCCGAAATCTAGGCAAAAGGCGCCAGGCATTAATCGCCTCTACAATATCGTACATGTTAGGTAGACACCAAGAGATGTATGTCTTCTGGGTTTTGTTTGGCTAACTGCTTCATCGGTAGGTGTTTCACTGCTTGGATAGCCAACACTGTCAGTACAAACACCCAGAAGATCAGTAGGGGTATACTTCTCCGTCCGGACCCTGTAAATTGAGTCCTGGTACTCATATGTACATTAGACAATCCGGTCCTCCCGAAGTAACACCGTCACTCTGCAGAGGCCCCTCGAATCAGGGCATAACAGTGTGCGAACACAGCAACCACTGGCGTCACGATGCACTCTACTTCGAAGTGTCACTTACCACACTCACCAAAAACAACCAAACTCACGCTGATGCATGCCTATCTGTCGTAGATTGTCAAGAGCGCGTCACACATCACAACGAAACTTGAACTTTTGCGAAAGAAAAACTACAATCATAGTAGACATATCCACATGGCGCCAACTTAACTCACCGTAGGCACTGCAACTGATAGTGCCACTTTGTCCCTCCACTCCTTCGATTAGGCCTGAATCGGCAAGCTCGTTCACCTTGACAATGACTTGATACACTGCGTGACGTGGGGGGGGGGTGCATGTGCAGTGAAATTGAATCAACATGGTTAATGAGGAAATAAAAGTGGTGTTTAAGGAACGAGAGCTGAAACAAATGGGCTAGCATGCGGAGTGTTGGGTAAATAATTATCGACATACCGTCAACACCTATTCACCTTGCGGTGGTCTGGAGTCTTGTTAGTTATTTATCCTGAGAGCTGATCAGTTGGGTGGCAACTTTAATGGCTGAAGAAATGCAGTACTATTCCGCTCACATTTGTCAATTCCAGCGGCACCTAGAAGTGCCCTTCGGCTGGACATACATTTTGTTACAGACCTGATCCAGAAGCCAACAGTCAAAAGTACTTAACGCACTCTATAGTACAGCAAAACACTGTTTATCTTAATAATACGACGGTATGTTTCAACTACTCTGTAGAATGTAAGTTCAAATTCAAATACTAGCTAAGGAAATGATAATCCTTAAAATATGGGTTCGCTGTCCTCTTTCCTGCAACAAACAAGTATATTATGTTACTTTACGGAATTTCCGCCTTAAAAATTGTTCAATATGCATTTAAATAAGAGAACACAATTTGGTGTGTGAACACAAATAGGTGCTCCGTTGTAATGGATGAAACATAGTAAAAGCGGGCTTGTTTGATGAATAAACAGCTGTCAACGTGAAAGACGTGGGTGTATATAGCTGTAAACCATTTAATAACCATACACCCTACGCTCCCACAGCAAATAGAATTTGCGGCCGAAAACAGAAATTTATCCGTTATATGCAAAATCACAGTAATCGTTCATTAAAAATAGCTTTCTCGGTAACTCGAGGAAAAATCAATTCATCAAGCTGTTGCCCACAGTTTAAATGCCATTTAAACGTTTTTCACGCCAATATGTTAATACAAGTCCTTCTTCATACGCTTTTGAAATACAGACTGGTGGAACACTTCCAAATACGAGGGCCATTAGACTTCCCGAACAGTTTAACTCCTATGGTGGATATCTGGAGAGTTAGGGACCTCCATCAAACGTTCACCACTGCATACTAGTTCTCGTACTTCATTCAACCAGCTCTAAAGACTGGGGATTAAATTCACCAGCTGAGTATCAGGCAGCATATGCCGCACATCGTCAGAGCACTTTGTTTGAGTTTAACCCCTTGCAACCCAATTGGAGTAGAAATGATAGCACTTACCAGGGAGAACAAATGGCTCACGTGAAGTATATAACCGATTACGAATACCGCAACGGCTTCCATCTCGATCTCGTTAAAGAAACGCTTTTCAACCTGGGGTGACCTGCTCCTGGGTTTCACAGTGGATAATCACGCAGTGACTAGCTTACCTGGTCTTCTCGAACAGTACAGATGTTGATGTTCGTCAGCTGTTCTTACCAGCTTACGATCCACACAGAAGACTTTGACCGGGCCCGCTGCCGTATGAGCGCAAAAGACACCGAACAAACGCACGATAAGTTGTGTTCGGCTATTCAGCGCCAGTCCGAATTGTTGGTAGCGTGTAAGGTAAATACACCCACCTATTGATACATCTGGCATATCACTCTGCGCTAGACTCTAGTTCCTAGTTTAAGAGTTAAGAATGAGAAACAGTAGTAAGTGTGCACTCATTGCACTGTTTCCTTAGAGGCAAAATTATATTTTACCTCCTGAGGCATACCAGGCTCTTGCTACCGGGACTATAGTTATTTTTTCAAGGGAAGACAGTCTGACATTTCAGTAGAGTGACATGAGCCAAATAAGGACTCATGGAAAGTGATGTACTTACGCTCAACTCGGACTTGTGTTTGCTTGTACACTGTTCCGTCAGCATTCAGAGCGGCGCATCGGAATATGCCAGCGTGTTTCCCGGTTTCATCGAAGCGATCTGTGCTTACCTGAGTCCAGTATCGTCGACCAGCCCTCACCCGAAGACCTTGAGCAGCCATCCACTCTGAACCGGTGGTGCTCCTGTCTGTGCCGCCAACATGTTCGACAGACCAAAGCAGTCCCCCCGGCGGTGACGGATATCCGTAGTAGGTACACAACAGCTAATAACACAAACGGTCTTCGAATTAGTTGGATGACGCAGTTACTGTGCAACAAGAATCAGTCATCAAACCTGTGTGAAAGGCATCAGTAACCCTTGAATCAATTGGTACTTAACCAACTACCATGAACAGAGAGTGGGATTTGGGGAAGATAATGGCTTAATTCAATTTCACAACAGTTTCACAGTTTCGGTTAGGCCCAAGCAGTGGAAACGAACTAATGGCACTGCAGCGAGCATTCCAAGAATAAAAAGTGGTCGCTGTGATCGCTAGTGGTACAGGATCAGTGGCGGGGACACAAACAGTATTATCAGCATTTGTAGTGGGAGTACCTTTCGTGCGGCCTGGGCCTCACGCACGCCGAACACACCGAGCAACACAAAAGTTAGTCCAGTCAACGGAAGTGTTTCACTGAAGCTGAGTTCATCTGGTGTTGTCCTCCTTCATCATCGACGCTGAAAGCTGTTTTACCTCGTATTTAGCAGTGGTGGTTAGTGACAACAGGATCGAATCGTGAGTCTGTAAGGTTGTGACCTAGACCACAAAGTCAGCGTACGTTTTCTAGTCGTGTCTCCAAGTGCAATACCAGAATATTTCACACATAGCTCTTGGCTGGATTTAACGCTATCCGGGTGCATTGTAGTGTGGAAAGTCTATCTGGATAACTTACATAACCCGGAGACAAACGGTGAACACAGGGGCTTACTTCCAACCGCAACAAGTAAATAGATTCCCATCATCTAACTCACCGTTATTCTCATCATCCGTTGCTGAACTAATAAGTGTTACGGCATAGAGCCTTTACGGAACGGATATGCCCATCCGAAATTTGTTTTTACTAATACTGGTGACGGCTTGTCATGAACAGCAAACGAAATTTACCATCAAATGCGAAGTGAAAATTCATTCAATCGCAGTACTGTAGCAACTTTTTGAGGTAAACTAACTGGAAATATTCAATGAAAATATTGCACAGGCAAGTTCACTCTCCTAAAATGGGTCCTGTTAGCCAGCCGGTTGTCGTGGTAAACATTTTCAGTGTTCATGCAGTCAGTGTGCCGTCACGCTGATGGCTTGCACCGACCCAAGATGGTTTCTCCACCATTGATCACCAGCCACTCTGATGCGATTTCGCCACTGATCAACATCGAAAATTGTTAGAGATGTCATCGAACCATATCCGTAATGTTTTACAGTAGTCTCCAGATCAAAACAAAGCCTCAACAGCTAACAGAAAGTTACTATTCATGTAAAGTAGCATTTATACGAAGTATAGATTTAAAGTCCTATTCCGTTGTAACAATTTGTCATCCGTTAGTTATCTTTGTCGGCGCTGTTACTGGGAACTACCGCTTGAAAGTCTAACGATGACATCTTTGTGCATGCATATTTACAGGGTTTGTAAAGTGTCGCTCTAATTATTGCACTAATGACCGATGGCCACAAAAATTTAGTAGATTGGGTTATTTTGCTGGTCACGTAGGAAATGGCTCAGCTTCTGTCTGTGACTGCAATTCCCGCATTTCGCTTTCGGATCGCAGCGCATACGTTAACTTACACGCTAATAGCAGTTGATACATCAGAAACATCCGGTAACCAGCACGCCAATTTTTGTTGCTTCGGCTTTGCACCTACTGAGCACCCAGATTACAATTTCTTTCTTGCACATCACAGATCAAAATTTTAGCACACATATATATATATATATCCACTATTTCATTTTTAAATAAATGAATCTATTATTCATCGACTGTGCGAAAGACTGTTCTCGCATAGGGACAGATCAACAGACTTCGCGCCGCCGATCCCCTCAACACTGCAGTCTGTCACGCCCTAAGCCGCATATGCTGCCCGTCTGCATCTCTTTCCTGGGACTGCTTTGGGATAGATTCTTATCAAGCCATGCCAATTCTGCTGTGTCCGTCTGGCCTATACGATACTGTTCGGTCCGCCTGGACGGCACTTGATTTGCTGTGTCCATCTCGTCCCTTCAATCGACCAGCCGCCGTCAGCTTGAATCTATGACGAGCACGCGTTGCTCGCTCACTATTGCCCGGACTAATCCGTCCCTCCCTTATCAGTGACCAAACAGTGGTTCGTTTGAACAGCTTCAATCCTGGCGAAGTCGCGTGGGCGGCGGTTGGCTTCCTGCCACAGCGACCCAGCCAGTTTCGCTGACCTGGCGCCATCCATGCGCATTATGCTAGCCATAATGGCCTGTGCACCCGCTTGATGAAGCGCAATCCGTTTCAGGTGACGACTGATTAGAGCCCGGCAATCAGCTGATTGGAAGGAGGCAATTCGACTACCGTCGGTATGAGTACGGGGGCAAGTGGTCCCGACTAGTGTATATTTGCAAAAGGAATAAAACGCTTATCAGCGGAAGGATGTGCCTATTATATTGGTGACCCTTCATTATCACCAACAATCGTCATTTCGGTGGTGCCCCAAGTAGAGTAGACATGCAAACCACTAAGAAATAAATGTGTGGTGGGATTGATGAACTACATTTGGCGCGATAAGTTCGGGGGACACAGTGTGGGTGGGATCAATCGAGTCCGTGGTAGCATAATGGCGCTTTAGTGCTTGGCCGTAAAGAAATTAAAAGATGAGCAATCATATATTGTTGTACAGTTGAAAGGGGGAAAAGCAAAACATTCAAAAAAGCCTCATTTGGTGATTATAACTCACTTCGAAAGGATGACCTTGGACGACTCGGGTGTAGGAGCCATCGGTTTCATGGAATAAGTCATTGATGGAGGAAGATATGATAAGTTTGTGTTCACCAAAGGGGATTGGTTCTGCATAAAGAGTCGAACGAAAATTTAGAAGGTTATATGGAACAGTGGGTTGTTATCACTCTGATTGTACTGGTTATACATGTTAATTTATCATAGAAAATGAGTAAACTACTGAGCTTGTTTTATCAAACAATAAATACCGTAGATTTTTACTAGATAATCATAGATAGCTCACTGCTTGACTTGAAGAAACCGGGTCAAGATTTAAGCAATTGTCCGATCCTTACCTTTGGGCATCATCTCGTCCGGGAAGAAGTATTGCTGTGAGGTCGAAGAATGGGCATTCGTTGCTGTACACGTGTACACATCAGCATGTGTGAACGGGTCAAATTGCTCAGCATCACCGACTTTCCACGTTATAGTGGCTGAATTGGGTCGGCTGTCAACTTGATCCTACACATTAGAAGGTAACAACAGGCACCTTGAAAACGTGCATCTGTGACCGATAGTGTATAAGTGGTTTTCTGTTGAGAACATCTCTGCGAGCGTTAGAGTTATACATGAATTTATAAAGTAGGCTGGTAACATATCTACGGAGATCTTAACCGCAGACAGAGTAGAATGAATTAGTGAGAAAAATCTCGGTACATGGATCTAACCAACCGAATGTAAACGAGTGTATTCACAGAGTGGTGGACGAAGTATAGAGGAATGGCTCAAAGGGAAAGTTGTGCACAGAGGCTGCTTGAGCATATAACAGAACCACCGTTCCGGTTCCGGTTCACTAAGCGATTTATTAACGGGAAAGCGAAGCGCTTCGCTAAGTGCTTTTAATTCACCAAATTCGCATCAATGGAATGAAAGAATGCACTGGTGAAGATATGATTCTCTCATACCAAGTGCACTGCGTTGAGGAATTTTTAGGAGAAAATACAATCTACGGCTATGCCATTACTTAGCAAGTTAATCAACACTTCACTCGAGTTCCGCTGAAAGACGTCCAAGCTCCTCCGAAACAAAGTGGCGCATCCAAATCCGCTTGAGGGAGTTTGGATCATCACAGAAGAGTATGGAGGCAACGAATAGATCTTGGTATTTCGAAATACTTCGTGGTGCTCCTGGCGCTCTTCGCTTGAACAAATAGAGGATAGCTTCATGGAGTGGATGGTGTCAGAGGCACCGGTTTGTGTGATACGGCAGTACCGGAGGCAAATGTCTCAGCACATGAGAAATTACCTTGTGGTTGGATTTCAGCTACTTGCAAACGATTTCGATGTCACTGACCGAATTTTTATGGAATGAACTGGCGTTTTCACTTCAGTTCAGCTTAAGGCCATTTTTTATACACGCATCGTCCGGTTAATACAGAGCCCAGTTAACGTATCGGTGACAGTGTTTAACCTCAAGTGGTATCCATGCTAAATACGTCAAGATGCTCTAGTGCCGTTAGATAGTTCTGACTAATCCTGATGACAATCAGGACGGCTTTTGTATTACTGGCACTTATGACGGATAATATGCTGTTGTTATTTTTTGACAGATTGATGGTTGGTGACCGAAACCTGCACCGTCTTTTGGAATAGATGCTGCCATGGAAGATCGCCGTTGATCGGATAAGGAAAGGCAACGCTACTGACGTTCTCTGCCGAACCATTTCGGCATGGGCAATGGCAGATTTCCATGTAAATCGAGGAATCCAGGAAGTTGGGATAAATGATAGCGCTCGCGGCATCAGATAAGGTGTATAGGCTGGCTAGCCGAATAAACTCCTCGTGGTGCCAGCTGGGTGGTTCTGGTTTAACCCGTACTAGCAAATAATTTGGCGGCAGGGTTCCAGGACGTGGTGGGTTTTCGTCTGGTAGGCGTTCCCCCTATAAAAAGTCACAAGTATCTGCTTAATAACACCGTGACGTGGCGGTAGTGACTCGCCACAAAATAAAGTCACTGCCCCGTAAATATCTGGATAAGCCTTTCTAACCCGGGGACATTAATTTTCTACTCGCACGTTGCCGACAATAACAAACATTCAAGAATGGAGCAGCACAATTACAAGCACAAACTGGTTGGTGGCATCCGTTTCTGGATTTGCATGTCACTGCTGCCTAAACGGGGACAGCCATAAAACGCCTGACCCTACAGAGGGATCATGGGTGGCTTGCGCTGCACCACCCACAGCTCCAACCACACACCCCATATCTAGTGTAAACCCGAAGGAATAAGACCGGGAAGCATGTGGATGGGAGCCACGTTTCATCAACGGAGCCATCCCACACTCCTTCACAGACCAACACAAGCACGCTGTATTTGGGGAATCAAGCGTACACAAGGCGGTGGCTGGAACGTTGTCCACTCCACAATGGGTGCATGGGACCGCTCTTCAAGCCTAGCACGACCACAAGGACCGTGCATCCCGTCGCCACCAACAACGACCAACTGTCTCCTGGAGCCAGTATGGACGAGGTAGTGGGTAGTAGACAGGTAGGCACCTTGTCAACATGCATATCAAGCGCAGTCATACCGGGGATATCAGGCAACAGCCAATCAGTTGAAACGACAATATCAAATAAAATAAATCGAATAATGCGTACAGATACATGGTCAGTGGACATTACAAGCCAAAGGTAGCAGAAGCGGAAGGTGGTTTCCAATACTTCAACACTAATGCAGATTCGCAGCAATATTGCAGATTGCATCTCTGGTGGAGGCTGAAAGTGACAGCTAGTTTTGCTTGTGTTGACGGTGAGCCCAGTCGTCAACAAACAGCAACATACGGATAGTTGTTTCACAGACTAGGGTTCTCGCACCGAAACGACGGATGTTCAGCAACCCACCATCAATACAGTGCTCCACACGAACACGGTAAGCACAAGCCGCATCAAAAGCACGATACACCATGACATGAAGATAAATAATAAACAGAGCAGGAGCTAAGATATAACCTTGCTTCACACCAGAGACAACGGCAAAGTCATCCGAGGTCTCTGCACTCAGCTGCACCCTCGCCCGCATATCACTGTACAGATATGCAATTAAACTTACAAACTTACGCGGGCAACCATACTTACCCAACACTAGCCACCATGCCTCGCGGTTCACCGTATCAAATGCCTTGGTGAAATCAACAAAAAGCGAGTACAGCGGAGGATGCCGTCCTCTGCACTTCTCCTTCAATTGACGAGCCGCAAACACCATATCTATAGTGCTGCGACCCGAACGAAATCCACGCTGCTCTTCCACCCCGTTCGGTTCCACAACCTGACTGACGAGGTGGTTGAGCAGGATTCAGGCAACCACCTTGCCCACACAACTCAACAAGTTGATGCCACGATAATCCGTGCAACATTGCTTGCCCCCTTTACCCTTCCTTATACAGTGGTAGCACAAGGGCATCACTCAGCTCTGGAGTCACCTCCTCCTCAATCCAACGCGTTGCACCAAGTGGTGCAGCGCATTCACCAACGCAGGTCCACCGTGTTTCAACATTTCAGGCGGGATCACGTCGGCACCGGCACACTTGCCGTTTCGCAGCTGAGCAAGTGCTGTCTACATCTCATCCAGTGTCGGCATGTCCACCAGACTCGCGTTCACATTGCACTGCTTAAGGCTTTTCAGTGTAGGACAGCCGATGTCCGAACGGTTGTTCAAGAGACAGTCAAAGTGTTTCCTCCAGATCTGCATTATGTCTGCAGTGTGTGTACAGCTAGCACCCGAACTACCATCGATCAGCGTCCTCAGCGGCTGCAACGTCGGTTCATGCACTACCTTCAAGGAGTCAAATAATTCCTTGTGTTGGCGGCGTTCGACGTAGCATTCCATCTGCTTCGTCTTCTCTGTCCACCATGAATTTTAATGTGACGGAGCTCCCGGGTCAGTCGTCGTCGAATTCGCCCGAACTTTCTCTTCTTCGCTAAATTTCTGCGGTCTGCCACATGTGCAGCAAATGCTGCATTTTTCTCCGACACCAATACGCCAGTCGTCGCATTGTTTACATCAAACTAGTCAGGCCGCTTACAGTTTGCGCGCCCGATGGTCGCCTCTGCAGCAGCTGTCACCTGGTCGCGAATGTGGTGCCACAAGTCCCCCACAGTGGATATGCGTTCCACATCACACAGTCTGCAGCCATCGCCTTCTCCAGCTCAACACGTTTCGTCACAGTACCGAGGGAGAGAATGTTAAATTTACGCCGATTCACGGCGGGAGTTCAGTACATAGATTTACAAAAATTTATGCACAGTTTGGTCCGCACCAATTTGTGATCAGTGCCACACTCAGCTCCACGCAGTACACGTGTCATGCGCACTTCACGCATATCAAGCTGACGTACGATGACACCGTCGACCAGGTGAGCGTGACCACTCCGTGGGTGCGTCCAAGTTGCTGATCCCTCACACTCAGTGCAAACCGGAGGTGTTCGTGATCGTCAGACTGTGAGTGGCCGAGTGAGAGCAGTCTGTCACCGTTCGCATTCGCTGAACCAATGCCATGCGGACCGATAACATCTGTCCACACCGATGCATCACGCCCAACGCGCACGGTGAAATCATCCAGCAGAAATAGTTGGTCGATCCTCGGCAGAGACCGTATCACGGAGGATTAAATATGTATAAACACCCCTACATAAACACACTGTTATGACAAACATAAGGGATTTTTTCACACTCTTGATCTCGCATTGTTATGTTAACATGATCATGCCTGTAAATGCATGACCCGCTTTTTCGAGAATAAAAGCTCTATTGATTTATTTAATTATAATACAAGAGGTTGCAGGTAGTTCGTTCAACAGGGACTGCCTGGATCCTAACTACTATTAACTGTCATTGCTCTCTCAGCTCATTGCAACTGAAGCGGGTGTGACGCCGCACATCAATTACACTGCTGAAAGTGTAAAACAGATGCACAGGATGCTGCCGTCATCATAAGTTGTGATTAAACTCCGTTGTCTTCACATTTGGGGTTGTTAGTCCGGTAACCAGGGCAACCACAACACCGATAGCACAATGGTTCCATTTCGCGGATAGAAACGCCACCGAACACCGCTGTGTGGATCCGTGACACAGCTGCCTCGCCGATTAGTTCGATATTGGGCATCGGATTACCTGTGACAGCTGTTCTGAGCCAACGTCAGTCGTGGGCCCACACCGTAAAGAACCGCTCGTATTGTGCTTATCAGCATACGGGCCAGTTATGTACACGGCACACCGCAGCAAGTGGATGGAACGACAACTGCGCAATGGCTATGCGCTGGGATCTCAGTCACTTTTTGTACAGACGTGCATGGCTATCATCTCTTTTTGCAGCCAGCCTCCTATCACAGTTGTGGGGTGCCGGTCGCGTGCTTACCCCAACCATAATTCAATGAGGCCTCAGTCTGTATATCCTCTTGTTTAAAGACAGGATGCTTCCCTCAAGCACTGGGACAGTCAGTTGAAACAAGCGTAGTCAGCGACGTCAATGTGGAGAAAATGACGTTACAAACGTTTTGAATTTTGAAATTTAACGGTTCAATGCTAGAAGCCTTTAGTTGTATTACACGAGTCAGATACGAGGGGTCTGAGTGTTGTGACAGGGGCCCATACCGTTTCTGTTCAACCAGTCATTGCTGATCATAAGCGTCTACACGTCAAAAGACACCCGTGCCCCGTGTATGATCAATCCGTGCCCGCGAATGGTGGGCCACAGGCATGTCCTGGCTCAGCACAGCACTGGCACCAGCATGCTGCATGCATGCACACGCATTACCGTTTGTGCTTATCAGATTTCATATTGTCTGGTCAGTCAACGACTTGTCAGCGCCTGCGTGAGTGCACCCGATGCTGGGTACGAAGTGAACGTGTTACGGACTATTCCGAATGTTTTACTATGGAAGTTGACTGAAATATGGGTTCACTTGACTGGGAACTTTTACAGAACTGCGGTGGAAGTGACTAAGAAGGTAGTACTCACATAGCAATGGGGGTTGTCGGACAGGCTGCGTGCTTTGTTGAATCATACCCTCACATACCGGAGCTGTAAAACATGTCAATGACAGCAATTGCAACCTTATGTCTCTCTCGTGCTACCCTTTAAAATGTCACACAGTTCATAGTGTTTATTACACTACCTCATATTCCTCTCCGGAAGTACGCTTTTCGTAGTCAGGTTCACCACCTCCACCACCCATTGAACAGATTCTCGCTTAGGCAAATACATTATTATTATTATTATTATTATTGTTATTATTATTATTTGAAGGGAAGTAATTGTATAAATGTAAAAGCGGCCACAATGAGTCTGTTCAGAGTTATTGTGTTATATTTCTTGCTGTATTATATCACGCAGCCGCCCCACTGGTTTCTCGCATTAAATGAATGCAACGTTCCAGTTAAACGAATAAGTGATGACGGCACCAGGGCAACCAGTACATTGAACTCCACTTTGACGGTAATGCTGATGCACGAGAGTGAATAAACAACCAATTTCTACCATCCAGGAAACGTTTCCTGTCACCGTGTCTGTGTCCCGTATAGAATGCGCAAAATGTACTTCTCTAAGAAAAAGAAAGCTGTCAAAGCGGCACCGGGAACTGTGTGCCGATTGCAGTGAACAACATATGCAGAATCGACAGAGTCCTGAACATCAAAGTGAAACGTCAGATTCCAATCCAGGTTTTATGGAAAAGTCAATACAGTTCCAACGACAGCAATAACCGAGTTGTAGACTGGCCGGCCTTCCCTCAGGCTATGGATTTTGGAAAGTATTGCTTGTGGAGTTAACTGAGAATAAGTATCACAAGTTTGGCATTGAGATGATTAAGCAGTCGTGTAAACTTTAGAGGCTAGATGGAGTGGTAAATTTTCATCCGTAATGTATTCACACTATCAAAGCCACATAAACCGCATGAAGGCGCTGTGACGTGGCGGATGGGACTCCACATTAAATAAGGTCATTTCTAACGAATGTGTTTGGCTCATAGTCTAAATTATGGCCATCTGAGTGGCGTACGCACCGATTATTTGGTCACCGGCTACCAGCAATTACGAGTCCTTTATCGCCCCTGCTAGCTCGTGTCTATTGGCCAAAGGCTCGGTATGGTGGTCCTCTAAGACGAACTCCCACTTCAGTCTAAGCAGCCGGCTAGTATCTCGAAAACTGAGGAATGTGACATTGGTTTACATTTCTACTTGTGAATAAACCTAGAATATGCTATCCGATTTTACACCAGTGCCGATCAAGCACCGACTAACTCTTCCTAGACGCTCCGAATCAGGTTCAACACTTTGAACTCATTTCATGCTGTTTTCATAAACCATAACAGATCAGCTGTGTAGCGGGGAACGGGTACTGGTCATCATTCGATGCCGTTGTTTTAAGATTATCAACATCAGCATTTCCTATGACTATGCTTCCTAACTGGTAGGCGAATAACGTTCTGTATCCGAATGGCGCAGATAAGATACTACGGAACGCGTGAGTTCGTCACCACTCACCCCGTCCCTTCGCTGTATACAGCTGACCAATCTAAAGCAGTGGCTCTCAACCTGGGGGTGATTAATCCCTAGGGGAGGGGATAAAATGGGATTTTACGAGGGGTAAATATAACTATGAGGATTGGGTCATCACTCAGTCGCCAAATAAAAGTTACTTTGCAACTTATGTAGCCCAACCAACGTCCCCCATGGCTCAGTAGCTTAAACTGCTGGTTAGTTGGCATCTGCCTTTAGCGGTCATGGGTTCGATCCTCCATAGAGGACCGAGCAATGCGTACCAATGACGAGCCCCAATATGGCGAAACGCCTCTGATGCTCTTCCGGACTAGGCTCTGCTACCTAGCTTGTGAACTACTGGGATGAAAACCTTAACAAAAAGATGATTACAAAATCCTCTGTACGAAAACATGCAGCTAACTACCTAATCACCATTGATTAGCCATCCCTGACTGATCATTAGTGGATGGTCAACGAATCAGACAATTTTCGGTAATAAATGCTAGTACCTAAAATTCGAATACGCGCCTGCAAAGCAGCGCAGCTAGATGGCGCTCCCATCGGCTCTCTCGTCGGTCGTTGTTCTCTTGAGTCAAGCAGTCGTTCGCCAGGTCGAATTACCGAGGTGAGTGAACACTAAGGTTGGAGCATAGGTCGGCCGACCAGGTAAAGGCGCGACCGAATGTTTGCAAGGTAGAATGGACAAACAGGTGAGTGGTAATCGGAACTTATCGATGTAGAGTGCTGGTGGGAAGCAACATTCAAGATGGACTTGGAAAGAATGGTTGAAGCAATTGAGAATCCATTGACATATATTCCTGTTTGATCAAGGATCACACACCAATCAAGGAACCGAATAAACTTGGAACACGACTTATGATGTATTGGCCGAAATCACACCAGATAAATCAGCAATTGTTGGAGCTAAGTAGTATAAATTGTCTCATTAACATCACGACCTGATTTAATAAAAATTTGTTCAAAAATAGGCGTTTCTTTATTTTACTGATAAAGGCGATTACAATAGTGTTCATTTTCCATAATTTGAGGCAGAAAATACAAGTCATTAATTAAGTACCTTTCTAAACTAAAGGTTTTTGGGGATAATTGTTTATAGTGCACCCGCTTGGAGGGCAACAACCACAGCAAGTTTGAGAACCGCTGGTCTAAAGGGTTTCTATGAAAACAACAAGTATTGTCTGTAACTACTAAGCAAACTCCATAAGAAGCATAACGCTCCGTAGTTATTCAGTTTGGTGTGTGGGATTTATCCAGAGACAAGAAAGCAAGCATCATAGTGACTTTCTTGCGTTTAGCATCATGAGTTTATCTTTCCGAATACAAAAGCATAGTGGAGATGTGCTCCACTCTAGACATATAGTTGGTGTCACAAATCTATTCGAAAATCCAGATTAATGCTTGGGAAATATTGGTGTCCAGCCGTGGAGTTTCAAACGTCATAGGAAGACTTAACTGTTCTAATGAATTTGAAACAGCAACTGGTACTAAAGTGTCTTTGTGAACTCACAGGTGCGATTGGTCCTGTCTGCCTAGTCCACATCACCTCGGACGGGATTTCAAGATTGTCATCCACGCATTCCACTTTGGTTGGGTAGAAGGGAAAAGTCGGATTTACCGCAGGGACTATCCGCAGCCGAGGTGTTTGGGAAACTGTAATGAAAACAGAAGGAGGGAGTGCTGACGACGAGCGATGTGACCGCTGACAAAAGTCCTTCCTACAAAAGCCAGATAAACTCCCGAAGCCTTGTCAAACCGCACCAAATGGCACCGGAAACCAAGTTCGGCGGCTTACCAGAGCTCACCGTGCTTCCACTAATGCTGACGGAACCGATTAAGCAGTGAATATTTATGTTCAAGTGAGACCGACTGTCTTTTCGGAAACGTAAATGTTTGATAGAAAGTTTCGGTGATTCGCTCTCTCATCAGTGTCCTCCACGACCACTGTGCCAATCGTTAACCACGAATCTAAGTGGACTAGTGATCAAGGAGTCAGTTGTTAGCTATTGGGCCCAGATCTCCACTCCTAACTCAGACTACCGTATATTAGCAAATATAAACCGATAATTTTACGACAAGTTTCATTTCTGTAGAGGGAGGTCGGCTTGTAAAATGGTTATATGCAATTTGAAAAAAGTCACATGCAACATGCACCCAGGAATTCCTTGCACATACATTTTTCCTTATCTCCCGCTAGTGACGGACGGACGCTTCGCTTTCCCCAAACTGTTTTAAGCCAGTCTAAAGTACCACTCAAGTCCATCCATTCTTTCGCGTGAGTCCGCATAAACAAGCCGCTTGGGAAAATCGCTCCTTTAGGCAACATCTTATGACTAAAAAATGGTTGGCAAACGGAGACCATCCGCTAAACGCCTCAAAACAACTGTAAACCATGTCTTCTCGTATCCCACAGTCTTTATAAGAACTGTGTCAGCGTCTTTTTGCTCCACCGTGCTATTTGAAAACGTATAAAAACACACGGGCGTCTCGTCCGTATTTTCAATTTGCTTTCTCAGCTGAATCATAAATCGTTGAAAAGATTCAACTTTAATGTCCAATTCTTTCGGCAGTTTCTGGGATAGTTTTGTACGAGTGTGCAGGCCTATGTCAAGTGGTTTAATAAAACGATAGCACCACCACAAAGAAGCCATAAAATTCACCTGTTTTAATGTCAGGAATTCAGGTTTTTTTTAACATTGTGCGCCCCCTGATTCGAATGTTCGACCGGGTACCAACTAACCCCCTATGCCGTGACTCCATAACCCACTACGCTAACTTTCTTCCAATGTAGGAAAGATGGCTCTTCTACCTCGTGTTGCTTTCTTGCCTACAGGCACTGGTGACACTTCTAACTTTTCCTTTCGCCATTCTCTCATTCACAGTGAAATGGTGTGTAGCCATAAGATTAGCAAATTGCTTGGCAAACACGATAATGTTTAAGCTAAAGGCAGCAGCATATGTACATTGCTTCTGTTGAGACAATTTTTCACCTTTCTATGGCTTTGGACGATCGCACGTAATGTGAGCACATTCCCTCTAAGCTGGATCAAGTGACGTCGCGTTGGCGCTGTTTTGGGTATCGAATCAAAGCGGTTATACATTATTGACTGACCAATACTAAAGCGGGTTTCCCTTGAACACACTCAAGTGAGAGCAGGTAACGAGTGAAACGATTCCGTTTCACTTTGTGCTAATATTTCGGGAGTCCGCTAATATGGGGACTTATGATTTTGGGCAAATTCGGTACTGCAGTTTTACTGTCGTCCTATCCATGGAAGGGCTTATATTCGGTACTATACGGTATATCTATCTGGCGAATCCAGACGACGACGTGGTGGACGTGTTTGGCTTGAGCAACACCAAGGCCTCTCTTCTCCACGAGCGGTTGCGTACATGTTAGGACCTTTCATCTAGAGACAGGCTGTGTTGAGAGTTGAACCCGGTGCATACAACTTGGCTGATGACGCCTTCTTCACCGGGCCAGTGACCTACTGACCCTTGTCGTTAATTGGTTCTACTACCGTTTTGGTTACTCAACTATTCGAGACAATTAAGACAGCACTACGTGAGTGGGCCAACGTTACAGAGGTCACATGAAATGAGTGGTGGCGTTGGTGTTGAACTTCGATTAAACTACTAATGAGGGAATTATTGACATCTGATTGGATAATAGTTCTGAGACTGGAATTCGATAAAAGTGCAGGATGAAGGCAATATTTGTGCACCAAATGGTGGGCACAGCCATGTGCAAGCAGGTCAGGACTTTAGCGATGGCAACCAGCATTTACGTGTGTTCAGCCGTTTCTTGTCGTTTCTCGCTTGTGAATCACTGACAAAATGAGATGTGTGGTATTAGTGGGTCAGGAGTATTACGCCAATTTCGTTCGGACAGCTGTTCTATATCACTAAACCAGACCAAAATGGACCTGTGAAGAAGAGCGGTATGTGGTAAGCAAAACAACTGTATGTTGAGTGTGCATAAGGATGTGTCGCGCTCGCTGAGATCCGCTGTCTGGTGTGTTATTTCCCGGTTGTTGATCTGCGGCAAATAACACACGCAACTAAGATAAGGACAGAGCAAAAGCAGCGTGTTCTTTTCGCTATCGATGGGACTTCCCTCACCGTCTGCCTGGACCAGGCTAACTTGAAAGACGAGATCAAGCAAAGCCGGATTGCGTACAGCGAACTTGATCTGGACAAGATTATATGTGGGTTGCTGCTTACCATACAGACCAAGTTCCCTAGAGACGACCCTAAACTAGCCAGTTGTTGATATTATATTGTTTTTAAACATGACTTCGCTTTCAAATTTACGTGAAGGCTACACACAAGTAAACGCCTGGGGTGTGAAAGTGACCGCTGAAAATGAGAGGGTCTCACCAATTTTTTCCTGCAGCACATTTATCGGAGTCCAGTCGGAGAATGCAAACACTCCACTGAAGGGATCCTCAGCACGGCACCGTATTTGACCGACCCTATTGGGTGTCCATTGTAGGCCAGCAATGAAAAAGTAGGAGTTCAGTGGTTTGGTGACCTTCCAAGGTCTGTCACTATCGGTCAGAGGAAGAGATCCTTTGGCTGACGTAATTCTGGTCTCCCAGGTAACGTTGAGCTTATCCATAGTTTTATTACGCCAAACATCTGGAAGTATTAGCAGAGTAAATAGTCAACGACGAATTTCACGAGTTTCACAGGCTCATTGTCACAACGTCTTTATCCATACTAAGTGAATCGTGTTACGCACAAAACTGAACATGCACACAACCACGGGTGGAAACGATCCTGTGGAGTGTGACGAAATTAGGGTAGCAAACCTTTCAAATTGGAAATGTCACTTCCCTCTGGAATGAGCGATTTTGAGCGAATACCGGATACGGTGTAATAGATGCTCACCTTTGGTCGCACAATGCAAGCGAATAGTTCCACCTTCGACTCCAACGACGAACCCATGTGGATCAACCGGTTGAATGGTTGCGATCAGCTTGGGGCATCGAATCCAAAAGTCAACCAATTGCGATCTGTAATAGGCCTGCACAGCCGTGTGCACATCGGTGGGTCGGACGACGCAAAAAATCTTCGCTCCAGTTGGAGTCTTGGATAGTCCGGTGAAACGGAGAATCCTCCCCCTATCTTCGAGCTCAATGCTCTCTGCTAAGCCGCTGCTTCCGACAGCACGTCGCACCCCGTTACCATATTGCAAGTACCAGTCGAAGCGATCAATGCTCACTGGTGGACTGGTGATATCTAAATATGCGAAAGCAGAGAGAACGCTGTTAGGCACAAGAGACAGTTGGAACATAGGCGTTGAATCTGAGACTGTTCCGTTCGTTCATGTCCCCATCGAGAATTTCGAAACACTTAACTATGATGACTACTTTCTTCCCCATAACCTGTGTACCGTTGCCTGTCTAATACCTCGATGTTAACAGAGCAAAACTACCTTCTGGATTTTGCAATGACATCAAAGGCGGGCACTCCAAAATTATCCTTTTTTATCCGTATGTAAAAGTCAGCCACGAACCTAGTGTGCTACTGGGAGTCATTTATCTAACGGGAAGAGAACCATTGTTAGTTACATGCTCCAATAAGCAAATGCCCATATGGTCCGAACATGCCATTTGGCAACTAAATTCACTCGCGCTGCACGTAATTCACGTTTAAGTTCATGGCTGCTGTTAGATGAAGTGTCCGTCTGACCAACGGCATAATGAAATGCTTCGTGGGAATATGGGGACCACCGTCTTCGCACTACGCCATTACCTGAGCGTTTTCCTACACAATGTTCGCTTCTGTAGGCTAGATCGGCTTTTGAGCAAAAACAGCGTATATAAGCAACAATAGGGAAGGTGGAGTGTGGGAAAGAAGTTTCATAAAATTATAACAACATGAGCACCCACGTTTTACTTCGCATCGCAATTCCATATCTTGTCCGGTAACAGCTGCAATTCGGTCATCGCTAAGGGCTTCACTGGCCACTCGGATCAACATCCTCGTTTTACCTTTCGGGACCACTACAGTAGAAAAGTGAGAGGTCACACTGATTGGCTGACAGTATTTCAATTGCAATATAGTTTGATGATAAACAAACCATAATGACACTGCTTAGTAATTATGTCACGAATGGGTCAGGTCAAATGGTTACCAGGGCACACATCAGTGAATTGATGTGTAACGCATCGATACGCCAACGGTTGATAGCGGTCGAGAAAGGATTAGTCAAGCATTGAATCAGTTACAGTTCAACAGTGTCACTTAGATTTAGCCTGCTCTAAAAACGGTTATAGTTTCTAATGGACTTTGATCGTATGATGTAGCAACAAGAAGACCCGAGTTGAATTACCCTCACCTCAGTTTCCGTACTACCACATAGACTGTTAAGTTGGCTTAGTTAGTGTGACTACTGCGCAGCTGAGGCCGATGACCCTATTTGACAGGAGCGTTAGGTGAGCTTGATTATCACCGGAGCATGCCCACTACTGCCAGAGTGATCTAGGTGATAAAATTGACCATTGCCGTGTTCGCTGGTGTAGTTACGATGCTGCACGAACAAGCTCTGTACATGACCATTCCCACGGTTACACTTTGCTTACTTTCCTTCATGAAGCCATGGTTTCGGCTCCAACCCTGCGACACGACCAGGCCCGGTGACACCGCCAGATACTTTAATAGTCGCAACTGTTTCTGACTCCGTGAAGGTCACTGACTTCTTGAAAGCTCTCATTCATTCCTCTTATATGTCTACTTAAATAAATCAAACCGGATGGAAATCGGAACTCAGAAAACTAATGGAGTGGACCAGCAATTATGAAAATTTGTATTAACTAGGATGTACACAGATACTCATCTAGGATTCGTCTACGAGTTTCGGCTGTATATGGCAGTAATTATTCTACTGCCGGAACAGCCTTAGTTTAATGCCTACATGGATACTGAAATTAGCTATGGTAGGTTGATCTACCATTAGGTCATTATGGTCATACTACCGCATCGCCAGAGAATTTACTTTGATAGACCGGTTTCATTCACTAGTGTCCTGTTTGATCAAAGGATTTCTCCGCCTACTCGGGCACTCCGTCTGCTCAACCAGGATGTGCACCAACCTATTAGTTGGAAGTAATGGACCACTCACGTCCAAGCCTCTCCCTTAAACGGTAATCTGGACATAAAAGGCCAAGGTCACATTGAGCGGAGCTGAGCGCCATATCTTCCTGTGAAAAGTCAACTGCGCAGTTCCGCGCTTAGAAGCTTATCAATAAGCCAATAGCGAGCAAGGGAATAGCAGTCCCCATAAACCGGTAAATATACACCAACAAAGTGTGACCAGGTTAATACACAATAACCCAGAACTTACCCTTTAGTTGCACCGATTTCACCTTATCTTTCACTTTACACTCAAGCGTTTGTTCATCCAACTCCAATGGAATAATTGAAAAGTTTGCCAGGGAGGAAGACTGCCTCATGGTGATTTGCGTGTGCGATTGCACGATTGGGGATTCCGAACTCCATCCATGAAAGTCCTCCATGGGTCGTGAATCATAGTGACAAAATAGCTAATACAAAGAAGAAAGGCAGTAAGGAGGATTGCAGAAGCTTTGATTCGTATAAGGGTTACTGCAGATGGGATAATCAATGCGCCACGGCTGATCAGCCACGCGTAGGATGTACGACCATGAGAAAATGGCTACACCTGATTTAGACAAGCCGTACCATTTTCACTCGGAATAAAATTTCCTCATGGGAGAAAAACTAACAACAAGTGTTAAGCGTGACGTGCCACCAAATCGGTACTCGTCAAGCGGTGTCGAAATTGGTTGCCTCAAAGTGAGGGTGATTGGACCGAGAGTAGACACGTGAACTATTACATTACCCAGTCGAGAGTAACCGCATCGCAGCGGAATTTGCGTTTCGCGATACAATCACAAACACAAACACGAAGTATTTCGGCAAAGTTCATGTATCCCAAGGAGAGCTTAAATTTCATATCACTTAGTAAGTATATTGTCTTACGCTTTATTGTTGCGATTGCACCCATCCGCTTCGGAAAGTTGATTTGTGACAAAATCCACCAAATGAACAATGATTTATCGTGGATAAAAAGCAGGCGCTTAACAGGTCTGGTAAATTGTTTGGGGGAGAAGTTGCAAAATCAAGAGTTATGTAGGTCATCAGTTTAAGCGTCTACCGCTTTAAACGTTCTGCTGCAAGGCGATAGCGTGAAATGGGAATTGAATGTTACAGCTGGAGTTTTTAGGAGGAAACAACACGACAAAACACTTCAAACTTGTGTAGATCGGAAGAAGACGCATAGGGATCAAATACTGAACTACCACCTGATGAACCACAAAAACAGATGTATTCACACTGTACTCAAGTGAGTGGAATCACACTGGAGCACAGTGAGGTTGAGAAAAAATAAAGTGAAGCTATAAAGGTGCATGCAGGTGACTATCCGATTTACATCTACACACATGTCATATAGGTCCAATAAACACAAATCAGAGGAGATTCCAAAGCATAGAGTCTATGTAACGAATGGCTGGGAGCTATGAACAGTATCCAATGAACGATTGGGGCTAGCCAACGTAGGGAAGGGAGCGACTGAATCTGAGAGAACGTTCCATGGGGGAAACTAATTCTGTCGGTATTCTAGACGGTTATATTGCTCATTCAGATTCAGGCGGTTACCTCTAAGGTTGGCGGTACATATGGCTGGGGTACTCAATAAGAGTGATACATTCATATGAAATCGTGTAGCGGTCCGTAGCGTCCTTTGGAAAGACTATGGGCCATGGTAGCTCAAAAAGCAAATTTGCGCACAGCTGTTAAGTGCGCAGTAATACATGACCAACACCGAAGCAATGAAGTTAATGAGGTTGCAAACTACCGAGCAGACCATGTTAAGTGACAGACAACTCCAAATGTTTTTAACATTCGCGTGTCTAACATGCGACTTCGGAGTCATTGAGCTTTAGCTGGTTCAGCAACATTCAAACGGCTTCCGCTTAGCAAAAACATAAAACAAGCGGAGTAACCCGAGACGGAGCAAACCAGCCGACCCCGAGTATTGAAAGGACGTGCATACAATATATAAACAAAACACGATGGATACGACGCGATTAGTAAAACATGGCTACTATACACTATCCTTGTGGTATATGATGTCTGTTATAGATGCAAGTTAGGCACATTGTCATCTGAGTATCTGACATCAAGAGTGATGAGACGTGTAGACCAGTTGTGGGTGAAATGCTCTCTGTGATGCGATTTATGCTCCATGAGTAGGATCGGTCAGAATCAATTTGTTTAGTGGTAGCTAGTGTCTTTCATCGACTCCCGAATCGTTCGTTATTGGATCACCGACATAAAAGTTCCATCTAATGGTACATGCTGCCACTGTGTCGGCTTTGCTACTCACTCTCAGTTGTCCACCCTCATTGACTTCCACAACGGCTTTCCCGTCCACTTCTGAACCCACATAAGCATCCGGGGAATAGATGTACAATCTAGAACTGGGATCATCGGGAACTGTAGGAAGAGAGAACATGTATTAGACCGGATGTCTAACATAGCCACAATTCAGCATTGAACGTTTCAAATAAACCATAATGTGCGGTACAGAATGGTGTTGCATAGTTATTTCGGTGAGAACATATAGCCATCCTCCTGAGTAGAGTTTCAACCCCCCAGTTAACGGGTGAGTAGTCTTAGCACGTTCATGGGAGATTCCATAGCTACATCTGGTTGGCGAAGCGTTTAAAAGCAACGTTATGGGAACTGCGGTATGTGCCAGCAGCTTCGATTTAAACGTTACATTTTCCTTCTAGCATGAACTTCGTGACATTGTGGACTACCAAAACGGTCTGTGAATGAGATGTAACGAGATACACTACAATCGGTGACGTCGCAGCTAGTTAAGAGGAGTGAACCGATGACACAAACAGTGTCTTCTTCCAAAGTGCAGGTTGGACTCCAGTGACGTCAGATGTACAAACTTTCTTCTTCTGGTTCTCCGGGACTTCATTACGAACAACAGCAGTAAGATGTATGCTGTATCCATAATGAAGTTCCCCTTTGAACTTGCTTTCAACTGGCATTCGAAGTAGGCCTAGAAGTCGGTGAGAGACTAGTCAGCTTTCCTAATTTATGTTACCAATCACCGACTAAACTGTGCGGATCAATTAACCGTTTGTTGTAGGAAATGCGTGCGCCAGAAAAAGTGCAGCAAAACCACTGTATGGTGCATTTATGTGTTGTATAACTACATAGAAGTATTTACTTTCGACCGGAACTTTTTCTTCCGGAACGGTGACAGTCTTCGATCCGCTGGTCTCCACATTGCTCACGAGGCAAGTGAAACGGCCTGCGTCATAGAAAGGGTCGAATCCACCTATACGCCTCCAGTCCAGTTCAACTTTCCGTGGTAGCAGCCCGTATTGGTGCACTCCGCCTTCTTGAATAACACTGACTAGCGCATCCTGTGAAATGAGGAAACAGATGCATTGTTAAACTCAGTAAAAAGAAAACTAAAAGGTTACGGGAAACTGTGGTAACGAAGAAGGTCTTTGACAGCAAATTACCTAATGGCTGCATACTTTGAAAGCTAAACTGGGTGTGCTTTCATTTTTCTGATTAGAAAAAGCTTTAGAAACGATTACGGCTGATTTGGAATAGGTTGTGAGTCGCTGAAGTCCAACGTACAACATTGACCCAGAGTCCGACGTGGAAGGAATCTAGGTGGAGAGGGGATTAAAGACTCATTTAGTCAAGGATATTAATGTGCGCATCTCTACCCGAAATCGAATGGACTGATGGTCCTGTACTATGAGAAAGCATGGCGCCACGATAGAACGCAACACTTGCACCTGTAGTGTGAGTTTGTGAGCGCACGTACATTTCGCTACACTCCCGAAACTGTCGGGAATAGGTAGTACTTATGCTGTTGCATGTGAATAAAGTTGATTACTTGGTTCGTGGTTCGTCTCTGTAGCAGTAACTACCGAAATGACTTTGGGCTAGCAACCAGACCTCTGTCTTCCTGACAACTGTGAGGACGCCAATCGGGTATCATTTTTCTAAAAAATCCGTTATTCTGCTCTGCACTCAGTTACCATGCATTCCACTTCACTTCAGTTTGGTGAAATGTAGGGAGTTGCTAGGCTTTGCAGGGTCATCACGTATCCTATGCACAGACATGTCCCCAGCGTGCTGAGCTACCGGGGTCTAGTTCAAAGTAACCCGCGGTCCAACTCGAAATAACCTGTCCCAATTCAAACCCACAGAAAGTACTGTACAACTCAACGAATTGTTAATCCACCTGGCAAGCGGTATCCTAGGTACCAACCAGCCCGGTTGCGAAGGCGCCGTAGAGAAATACGCAGTCCCGGATTCGACTTGCAACTCTGGTCTAATCTTGCAAACATGCTTAAGCAAGAGCTGGTTGAAGCGTGCAGTGTTGGAAGATTTCCGGTGTTGCTTCTGTTATTCAGCAGGTAGCCGTTAACCATCCGTGCACTTCAGATATCACATTCCTGCCCTCATCATCATCATCATACACGTTAGGTAGAGGTGGGGAACACCTCAGCTACTGTGCCGCAATACATAGAAAAAGGAGAAAAAAGTAACCGGTGCAAGCCGGCTGAGCTACCGGTAACGGATGGGCATCGTTCCGGTAAGCTACCAGCCGGCTGCTGTGCACCAAAAAAAATTACTATGCAAAATTACATAAGGCAAAATAATGAGATCGTGGTTGGAGGGGGAGGCTAAGAGGGATGGGGTGGGACAAAGAAACTCACAGCACGAACGCCACTGAGGTCGGCTCCTAGCCATATCAGCAAGTGTGTCCAACCACACGTGTTCATCGTCTTTCGGACCCCAACCAGGGAGCCGAGACGCTCCAACCGAGGCCAGCTCAGAAGTGAGCGCCTTCATTCCTCTGGACCAAGTCATCGCTTGGCCACCCCTCCTCTTCTTCCATCCACACCCCCGGCGCGCAAACAACGCACGTCGCGGGAGTCGGTGGGCTGGCATGCGTAACACGTGGCCGAACCATCGCAGCCTGGTGCGTGAAATAACGGTGCTGAGCGGTTCTGTTCCTTTTCCGTAAACAAGGCCGTAAACAAGGCGTCGAACACGCTCGTTGCTCTCGCGGTGTTCCCACAGATGTGAGCTACATTGCGAAGGCACCGAATCCTGCCCCTCACTATGTCGATTAGAAGAAACTGACTCCATGAATGTAAACGTGCGGTTCCCGGTTGATGCCTGCCTATTTCTTGTTGGTACGCAAGCGTAGTGGGAGCTCCTAAGTTGAGTTTCAGTATTTTTCCGTAAGAATTACAATAAACAGCCAACTCGCTCGATGCAAATTAATACGGGATCAGAGGCTCATGCGAGTAGTCCGAACCCTACTGATTGGATTATCAGCTGTTCATCAGTGCAACAAAAAGCAGGAGCTCGCACACGGCCAACTTCGTGTCACATCAAAAGTAAGCATGAAATTCACCAGTCGTGTTTTTATTTTAAATTACAATATTCTATGTCTCAAAGCATACTCATGTCAATATTTAGAAAAGGAACTCAGCATACGCTGCTTACTTTAAGCTTTTCAGCACGCATTGAGTCTGCAGTTATCGAGACGTTCGAGTCGAGGCTAGGGTTCAAGTCCAGACAAATGAGCCGCGTGGGGAAAGTTGAGTTCGGATGGTCATAAACTGTTTGAAATACAATCCTCGGATCATCCGAAGCTGAAAAGGATTATCAAGAGTAGATTTAATACAGTGCAAGGAGGCGATCACAGAACAATCTTAACTGTCGGAGATGAGATTTCCAAGGCCATCTTAAGGATGGAGAAGACGGCGACGTACCAAAGATGACAAAAGATTCGAACATATAGGCAACTTATTGGGTAACTCATAGGAAAAAGGACCAGTGAGGTTGCTATTGCGCTCGCCCTAAGAGTAACCAGACGGACCTGCTGATTGAAGCGAACAGCTAAGTGAACACTTACTACACACAGTGGGTGACTTGACAAACCAGGTTTGCTCCGACATTTACTGTGGGTTCACCTGCCTGGATCGAACGAAGCGTCTCATGGACGGGCCAACATAGTCACAAGTGGCATCTGCCTAGCTATAAATATCACGAAGTTTTACAAATCAACTGGGAGGGCTTATTGTTATCAGGTTGAATTTACTATCTGAGAGGTGTTACCGTGATCTGTCCTAGTGACAATGATACTTAACTGGGGGATATCGTGTGCAGAAACGCTTCGACATTCATTTAGCTCGATGTCAGAAATCGCGACGATAGCTTCGCATCAAGAGTGAGATGAATGACAGCGATTGTTGTCACAAAGCTGCTACCTTCCAGGATTACAATTTGATGAAAAACATCAACAATTAACTGGCCAATTTAATGAACCGTCCGATTAAAATAGAATGGTCAGTTTTGCACCTCCACAGAAAATCTAACCAAATTTCCTTTGAAAATATTTCTGTCGTCTCATTGTGACCGTTGGAAATATCAGGCAGTGTTGGCAGGTATTTTCATTTAACAATATTTCTTTGGAGTTGCTGGTGCGGTATCTTCTAAACTTGTCACACACACCAACGTACATGATTCGCGTAGCACGAAGCAGACGAAAATAGCACTGCTTTAAAGTTCACAAGTGGCATCTGACTAACTATTAATATCACGAAGATTCACGGGTCAACTGGGCGAGCTACGATTTTTACGGAGTTTGCCGCGTTGAATAAGTGATTGTGTTTGCTTACATATGTTGAACAAAATCGCTCCGGTGAGATGACTGAGAGGCACCGGTTTGCATTGGAACTTCAAGTGAATCCCACTGGTCAAAGGATAGTCCACTCGGAAATTTGTCGGTGACAGCCGATGAACTGATTAATGGGGAAAGTGTCAAAACAGAAACAAAAACGAAATATGAATTAATTTCTAAATGAAGAGGATGCGCTTGAAATGAACTAAGAAATGCGATGTGGACATTTGGTACCGAAAAAAGGCAAGACTCCTTATCAACACACACTGCACTGAAGTGAAATAATAGCAACTTTTCCGGTCTTTAAATCATCTTCCTAACCTAAAGAAACTCAAGAGGAATATGTGTTGATTTGCAGCAAAGCATATCATCGCTGTGGGTCTCTATCGCGAAACTTCGAATAACCTTTCTTCGGCTTATATGGATTAATGTGTCTGATAAGGAGCGCAGCGCAGCACAGGGCTATATATATATATATATATATATATATATATATATATATATATATATATATATATATATATGCATACGAATGTTCGCTGTAAGGAATTGGGGGTCTCATAGATAGAAATATACTTACTCAGATGTCACATCTGACATCATATCAGCACTAACCTCTATCCGTGATATCAATAGTTCTTCCGCCTTGGTAGTCAGTCAAGGTCCAAGTCGGGTTTGCACAGTATTCTGCCTCTGGTGTAAACCCTTGAACTAAAAAGTCCCACACCACGGGAGCCTTTTCGACCTCCTGATCTTTAATGTCTTCCGGTAGATCAACAGCTTCACCTCGGCCCAAATGCTTTTCAGTGCCATGGTGCAGCGGATCCACATGAACTGTTGTGTTGAAATGTTGTAGTTCAATACCGTCACTGTCCCTATAGACAGTGCCATTGTAGACCCCTTCATGCTGACTGGCAGCAGCCCAAAAGATCAGATTGTCTCCGTCCTGTTCCACGCCGTCTGGTAAGTACCGGCGAGGAGTATCCTCCGAAGTGTAATTAACCTTCTTCCACTCCACTCGTATCTTCGATTTCCCAGGTTTGACCTTTACTTCCAAGACATGCGGCTGCATGAAGGGTATTCGCACTTCAGACGGGGGCTTCATGATATCTGGGGGGAGGACTACAAACGGAAAAAAAGCTCGCGATTAATCGGTTAGAGGCTTCGGGGGGACACGAATACCAGGGGGCATAAGTTTCACCGGTAAGTAATATGAGCTTAGGATTAGTAGAATCAAACGTTATGCCCTAAAGCTGGATTAAATCTGCAAGTGGATTAGGAACAGTGCAACCATAGTTTGTAGGGTGGCACTTTCTCTGCCAAGTAGAAAAAGTCAGATAACTGGCAGGCTGTATGGCAGGGCCGTTTTCCCTACCTGAAATTCGGCTAGAATTGATAGTGTGTTCTCCAAGTCATGTAACTCCAAAGCGTCTTGAAAAACACGAAACGGCCGCTTCGTCTTATTTGAGCTGGTCAGTAGCGAATTCCTTGGCCAACACGATAGATCCATTATTTCACTATTTCGGCAGGAAACTAATTTTAACTCCCTCTTGGTTACATCATGCCCTGACGATCTGCTATCGACTCTCTTAGTCGGCCGAACGAATGTGTCTTGGAACTATTTCACGCACGACAAAGTACCCAACAAACTTTGAAGTTGCTAATGTGTGGGAGGATGTCAATTTCAATTTTAATGTCTTCATCACTGCACCTCACAAGCTGCATAGCGCAGCCTAGTACGGAAAAACTCAAGACGCGTTTCCTCCTATTGGGGATCGTCAGTGGTGCGCATTCCCTCGATCCCCTACCGGGGATCTAACCCATGACCGCTAGAGGCAGATGCCAACTAACCAGCAGCCTAAGCTACTGAGCCATGGGGGACGTCGGCTGGGCTAGATAATTTTTCCAGCCAACTGGGATATAGCACGACTTATCTTCTACTGCCAAGCAGATTACTATCTTTGCAGATGACAGTTGCTAGCCTCCGAAGGTCATGACTTCCTCACACTAGACGGCACGTCCATAGCGTTTTAAACTAGGAGAGGATACATTATGTAGCCCAGCCGACGTTCCCCATGGCTCAGTGGTTTAAGCTGCTGGCTAGTTGGCATCTGCCGCTAGCGATCATTGATTGAATTCCCGGTAGAGGACCGACGGAATGCGCACCACTGACGCGCCCCAATAGGGTGAAACACGTCTGCTGCTTTTCCGGACTAGGCTGCACTATGCAGCTTGTGAGCTGCTGGGATGAAGACATTAAAATTCGAAGTTGTACGACACTTGAGACTTGAGTGCAACACGGTTACTACGCGCGAGTTGAACGGGCTCCTAGACCGAACGCAATCTCACACGCAGTTAGCCAAACCCGAGAGAACATGACAAAAAGGCGAGCCTTTCGCGTAGGCACTTTTACCGGCCAGGCTCAAGGCGATTACAGCGCAGTCCAACGATTTTTCTATACATCGATGATGCCAATGGTTTGTGTAAGCAAACCCTGGAAGCGACTGAATTGGCACTATGCAAATATGCCAACGGAACATGTTAACAAGTGATTGTTGCTAGACACCGAGGCTGGACTGAATGTTTTTTAGGTAAAAAAAGGTTGAATGTTTTGTGACTGAGGAGGGGTTGGCTAGAAACAGGAATGTTTTCTGAGGTATAAAGGCCAATCGAAACGTGAATGTCTCACGCGTTGGAATGCTGATGGAAACACGTGCACTTGTCTGAGTCGAGCCTCATTGGCTTCCGTGGTTTAAGCTTGTGATCATTGTGGGGATGTTGGGTCCCCCATAACAAAGCCACTTCATGACCTCCAGACGACAGTAGCATATGTCACTAGGCATCGACTTATTCTACTCATTGTGTGACCTACACTGTGGTACCACACTATCACCCATGGCCATCTCCGTAGAAAAGAGAGAATGGCTCCGGAAAATATCTACCGATCATCCCTTTAACAGGTCACACACCGCTCACCAATAATGAAGCTTGAAGAGCTTTGTCACCAGTTCCAGCTGGAACTCTCTAGCCGCAGCGACTTAAAAAACTTGTTCGGCTTTATACATATACTGCCACACACACACACACAGTCTGTACAAAACCCACATAACAGAAATCGTGTGTCTATTGCAATCGAAATGGTGGCTGCTCACTGCGCACTTACAGATCAAACAAAAGATAGGCTCATAGATCCTCCTAATAAGGCAGATTCACTAGTGAAACAAGCCGCCTGCGCAAACGAGAGTATCTATCTATAATGCAAGGAAATTTGTCAATAATAATGGAAGCATTCCAGTTATGCACAGATGTATTAATAAACTCTGGCCTAAATAATGTAGCATCGTTGTAACAACTATCGCTTGAAAGATATAACCGAGTACCGAGCTCTCTTTCCAAACGGCATTCAGCCAATACTCAGTTTAACTGTTAAGGTCACGTGTCGGGGGCCTGCATACTATGCGCTTCCAACGCAAAATGAACACATGAACCCCCTACTCTCGTTACACTTCCGCGTTAGTCGTCAAACAATTTACTCTGTAAACACCACTACTAACGGAAGCATGCACCACACGCGCTGGCATGGCAGCGACCACACGCGTTTTCCCAGCCCCGTTGCTCCGCTTTCTCATCTTCATTCTAAATTTCGACCACCAGCGACTACAGATTGAACTTTACCTATTTGGCAGTCGTTACAGTTTCTCCTCAATTAATTGTTTTATTGTGCGGCTTGACTATCGGGGTAGGCAGCGCAAATGCACCTCCAGTGGCAGCCAAACATACATTATGTATTTCCTTGTGTCTTGTCCCTTTTACCCACCCATGGGTATTTACCCGAAGGTCATTTTTATAGGCCGGTCTCCGGAGCCTAATAGCGTCTCCTTGGAAGCGGATAGCTTCCATACTCGGAAGTCGTCTTACTGGTTTTGTTATTATTTATTGCTAAGAAGACGTTTGGTGCCGAAATTAATTTGCGTGCTATCCACTAACTTCTATGAACACACGAATTGGCTAGTTTATTCATTTCGAAGATGTACTTTAACATGTTATGGCAGTATTCCTTCCCTGAACAACATCTAACATCACTAATGTTTTCAGTGGATAGGTATACATCCATGATTGCAGGGTTGCAATTACAGTTTTACCCGGTTGTTCGTCATATATTACATCAATCATAGTCTTTCGCAATCTGTTTCTCATCCCCGTCTGATTAATGGTTTGCCAATGGATCTAGCTATGCACAAAGGTGGACTTCATTTTGCTAAACAAAGAGTAACCGAGCGAACTAATGATCAAGTTGACCAAAGAGAGAGAAGTTCACATGAAAATAAATCCTTCAGAATTTGCTGTGAACCCGAACTGACCGCCTACAACAAACAGCCAGGGGATACGGTAGTGCATGTTGCTCCCCTGTACAAATAACCAACGTTCCTTTGGGAGCTCATTCCATTTGTCCATAAAACTGCTGACTTGACTATCACCTGAAGCCGCAGATGCTGGTACGCTCATCTATGTGGGACCCAAAGACACCACGGTTTCGAACGTCACAATGAATAAACGGTGAAAGATAGAAACTAGCGTTACGAAGCCGTCAAAGTAGTTCGTCTGAACCACCGGTAAGAAAACAGGTTGTTCAGAGCTTTAGATGCAAAGTAATGAGAATGTTCGGCATTTAAAAAGTTGAGGGCTGTGGACATATTTGCAAGCAAGTGCGGTTGGTTGAAGTCAGTGATAGCTAATAAGAAAGGATGGTTGCAGTGGGACGAATGTGCTAATGTCATTTTGCGTGATGAATTGTCCTGAAATTCGGATTCAAACACCTTCTGGTGATTTAGTACAAGTATGTTGAAACAGCTGAATTTACAAATGCTCATTCTAAAAAGAATGTGACGCCAAAGTCAGCTACGGGGTATACGTAGACCAGAGCCCTAAAGTTTTGTGGGACCCGGTACATTGTGTACCCAATGGATGGATTCAAAACAGGGAGCGTTTATCGTATGGCATCCTCAGACAAAGAAGCATGTAGTTAAACATGCGAAAGCTTACCCTCCTCTTTGTCTCTCCAGGTAACTTCGGGTTGCTTCATTGGTGTCCAATACGGGTTGGACACGGGGTCAGTGCCGACGAAGTAGCCTTGCATTGCGTGTTCATTTCGTTCGATTGATTCGTGCGGTACACTGAGGCGGTATTGAATCACACCCGTGCCCTCGTCCACCATCAGCTCTTCAGATGGTATACGCGTTCCGTTGGCGCTAAGCCACAACAACTGGTGGCTTGCTAACTCAGAGGGCTACGCAGTACAGGATAAAAGTAGGTGGAACGTATAGACGAGACGTTTTCAAGAAGGAAGGACAACAAGTTATCTTTATTAAGACCCTTCATAAAACCGCGTTACCGTCTGGGAGGGCATAGTAGCTGATAACATACGTACCTTATCAGCGACAGCTCTGACAATGGTCGTGCCGGTATCCGTCGGGTCAGCTTCAACTTGATACGTCGCCCAAGCGGGCGATTCACGGTTCCGCGGTACATTGATCGAATATTTCTTATTCAGTGAGTCACCTTCAGGTACCGACAGTGGAACGATTGGACCTAGTGAATACGGGCATAATGGAGCAAGCGTTGATAGTTGCATTTCCGCGGTGAGAACATGCACAAATCTCGGTGGTGACTGTTGTACTTCCAGCTACCGTCATGGCATAGCGAGACTAATTAACATCACCGATTATGAGCTCTCTTGTTAGCATGGGTGCTCGGTAAGGAAGATATGGTTAACAGACTTAGGCCCACGACGTGTGGTTGCAGGTGACCAGAAAGCTAAGGGTACAAAAATGAATGAGCCTAACCTCGAAATAAAAAACAAAGGAAATTCAGGTTTTAGGCTTCAAATAAACCAGTAACCACCTACCCCATATAGAAGAAGAGGAAGGACTTCACAAATGATTTAAGAGCCTTCTGAGTGCCAACTAACAGGGGTAGGAACGTACTCACTTCACTCACCTTTATCTCTGACGAGCAGGTAGGTAATCTCTTCTACAATGGCTCCCACTCCAGTCGCTCGGCAGGTGTAATTACCCGAATCTCCTTTGTCCGCAGCTGGTAAATGCAGGCCCGCTTCGGACCGATGCATAGTGTAGTTGGGAGCATGTTGTTTTTTGATTAATCGGGACACTGTCGGAGGCAATGCACGACGACTGGTGATGAGCCGAGCTCTGTCCACTGTGTCTGGCGCAACCCACTCGTGGATAACGATGCCATCACGGTAGGAACTAGCGCGGCAAAACAGACTGACCGGGTCACCCTCCTCCACAATAATAGCCCGAGGGGTAGTTTCGATAATTAGGCCTAAGATAGACAAATAAAGTCAAAGTAATTAGTTGTACTCGAAGCAGTGGTGGCTGAAATCACATAGTGCGGTTGGTACATTTGTTAAATCCAACATCCACTCAATAGGTGAGCATTTTCATCGATCCAAGGTGGCAAATTTACAAACTGCTGATGGCGGTGTCCTTAAGCAGTAAACGTGAATGTAGTCGAGGTGAGGTATCACGTGACGTGTTTCCGTAGAACTGTCATTGACCGGGATGGTTTCGCAAGTCAAAGTATACCTGCTTTAGGATAATTGAGGTTAAAACGTATAAGAAATTCACCCACCGCGGATCAGATTAACGACGGGCTTACCTGACTCAGCGGAAGTGGAGCCGGGTAACATCCGACGTTGTCTCGACTAGTACATATACCTCGGTGTGCAAATAAAACATTTCAGTAAGGTACCACGTATCAAATGGATGGATGCATGAAAGAGTTATCGCTCACTTGGTTGACATGTTTCATACCTTTCCCCGGTGTACACATTGTATTTAAAGAATCCGCTGGGACACCTATAACGCGGAAGAACATGGACCAAATGAGAATAACATGGCTGCCGTAGAGAGCAGGCCAAATTCATTTAGGTTACCTGTTGTATGGCGTAAGGATATGAGATGATAGTCTGTACTATAGTTCATACTAATCAAAAAATGTTCCTGAACCATAGCAAGCCTCACACACAAAACATATGTTAGGTCAGGCTAACAGGAAGCTAGTACTTCCCACTATTTCTGGTTGGGCTGTACCAGTGGCATTCATTTGCAGAAATGTTGCAGATCGTGCAGTCTCGCCGTGCCTGAGATGGTACAAGGGGGTGACTTAGTGAGATATAGCGGAAGATAAGACGCATTGCAATTTCAAAGTGAAAATACATGTTTTTACGGTTAATGATGAGTTCACTCAAGTGTGCAAAGCTAACACCAATGGTCGATAGTAAATCATCGTTCTAGCAGGTGCATGAACACGTCCATCCATCGCTGCCAGTATCTATCAGTAGATATTCAGCATGCAACTCCATTTAAGGCCAACATGGATATGTATCCGGCACCGATATGGAGGATCGCACGTAATACGCATTCGTAGTACTCAGAGTATCCCCGGCTACCTGTCTATTTTAGCGTCATCTGACAATGGTTGATGGGCCAAGTAAAACCACCATCATTGCCTACTGTTGTGACTGGAACAGCATATGTCGCCAATTTCGAAAAATTTAGTTTTCATTGGCGGACGGTTATTAGTTTGTAGGCTGTAGATGTAATAGTTCGTCATCACGACAAGCTCTTATCTGGATATTGCATGTGGACAGTCAGTTTTGGCCACCAGTAAATGGCTTGTAGCCGGTTGCACAGTCCATTCTGTCTCTCCACTACTGCGGTGCACTTGCGTGAATCGAAACCTAACTGTGGTAGATTTGGTTGCTGCAGGATGCAAGTCACGGGTTTGCTTATAGTTACCCTACAAAATATTTAAAAGACAAGCGAGGCTTGTGCTGAGGTATTTGATGCTGATGAGACGATTGGCTCTGTACGAGCGTGCATCAACCTTTAGACCAATGGGCGTGACAGAATCGTCCAGTCCGACTGGACGTATTGATGAACAAAACAAATGATCCGATTCATGGGAGGCGAACCTGAAAGATTCATTCCTTGGATACATCAGAAATAATCGTTCATCAATGCCGTTCCACCGACTGGCTAATGTCCGGGTACCTTATGGTGGGTTCGTCCTCGTTTGGTTAATTGAGTTAAAGAAGGAGCATCGTCGTACCAGAATTGTGCTCGCTAATGGAAGTAGAATAATCATATATATAAATGTGTTTCGTGTGGCAAAGATGTCCCTTTGCTTGTTTACCTTTGTTGAATAAACTGCCTATCCTAGAAGGATCAAAGTTTCCACTATGGGGTTGTTCATGATTTAAGAAACCTATATAATCTGATAACAGGAAACTGGCATGGACCGCAACTAGTAGAATGCTCACCGAACACTTTAGATTCTGTCTAGGCAAATTGAGGATCATGACGAACTTAGTTAACGTAGCACGGACTTCCTGCATAGATTTTTTCGATGTGGTTTCGGTAACCACAAATAGTGTATCTGACGAGCAACTTACTCGTCACAGCTGGGTCCAGAGCACTCTGCGCAACCAAAATCTTCACCAAGTGGCTCCAAACGGATGACGGTTTGTTTCTTTGGATCTCGACAGCCCTAGTGAGTGAATAATGAAGTAAAAAGAAATGTTGGAGGACGGTCAGCAAACAGCCGTTAAAACTCCGGCACCTACTTTATTCAGTATCATCAAAAAGATTACTGCTCACAATAGCTAGACAACTTTGGGGGGTTCACTGACAGCGAGGAGTTTCCAATCCTCCACCTTTCAATTGAATCAATATCTTACTGGACTTGATCCAAAGCAATGACACCAGTTCAACCCACGAGAAAAAACAATTAAAGCCAAAGCGTTAGAGTAGGTCAAACTCAATGACCGTCGACCTGGCCATATCACAGTGCACAACCCGAGCAAAACATTAAAACACGATTGCACTGTGAACGTACCTCACAACTTAGCGACAACTTGCGTTCGCCTGGCTGAGTGGGAAGTGGGCAGTCACAACGTTCAACAGGTGCAACCGCTAGTGCTGGTCCAGCTGCCCTAGCTGCGATATGATCCGTCGGCACTGCGATCTGCATGAAAATGTCGAACAACCTCAGCCCTTTCGGGCCTTCACTCTTGCCACTGCTGGTCAAGATCCCGATGCTAGTTGTTGTGGCTAGTACTCTGAGTAATTGTCCTCGGGTTAGACCTTGTAGGGGTCCGTGTCCGTCTATCCTGCTTGGGGTACCCAGTTTCCAACCTCCCGGCCACCAATTTTCATCAAATTCCACCTCGTACTTCTGGTTGGCAATATTGAAGGCAGCTTGCGTCCATACTCGACCATACCGAGCAGACTGAAATAGGAAATGAAATGTAACGCTGAACAGCACTTTGCCTTGGTAAGAAATTTTTGGGTATTCGAACTTTCGATATGTCCGGAAGTATAGCTGATGGCTTCAGCGACTGCTCACAGTGAAAGTACTTGTGGCCCTCAATTAATAAAAGACTAGCTGCGGCTTCCTATTGTACAACTGAAACACCTATCTCCAGCTTTCTTTAACGCTGTGGCTCCCTTAATTGTGTTAGAGAAACATTACACTGCCAGTTACTCCATATGCAAAGTGACTTGAAGAAATATGAAGCAATTTTAGAATTCCTGCTTGAGTAACTCTCTAGGCAAATGGTCCTACAGGTTTGCTCGTGTCAAACAGCAGTGAGCACTAGGTATATCGTTTTCTCACCAAGTTTACTGGGACGTGCAAGGCATAAGAAGTCGGATTTGGGTCCGCGCCGGAATGACCATCAGCACAGACTGATGTGGAAAGATCCAAAAATGGGTAACCACACTGGAGATGTACAAGCAGATTGCGGCGCTCGCTAATCACCGTTGGGAAGTATTGCGGGAACAATGAAAGCTCAACGACCACAGAGACTATGGGCGCATCAGTCGAAATAGAAGAACTGGACATTCCGATAAAGTCAATATATACTCACTTCCAGTTCGATGACCACTCTTGCATCCCCTTGGGTGAGTAGCCTAGGATCTAAATCAGCCGAATCCAACCGGAAAGACATTTGACCGCCATACAAGAAACGCTGTAATGTGAGAAAAGCAACATATGTGTGCGCACAATGGCAACAGAGATGGAGCTACAACATGTAGAGTTTGACAATATCTCTTTGGAGAGGAGTGTGGAGTAGCGCTTATACGACGTTGAAGTGGCATGCGTCCAACAGAGAGTGATGGTAGACACACACGAATTTATTTGGTAGTTGAAAGAAAAGATACATTTCATTCATTTCTCAGTCACAGATGTGGCTTATATATTCCCGCCAAAGTTCAAGGTTACCTGTTCAAGACGCAATAAACGATCTGGAATTTATCGGCGCCCTACTGTAGCGTACCGGCATTCATGAATGCGCTCATCTGCAAGATGCTTTAGTGAGGACCATCATAGATCAGTAGAGCGGTTAACTGAATTATAAAGCCCGGTGGTTCTATTTTGAAAAGTCATGTGCTAAGGTTCCACGCTATTTTACTTACTGCGACAAGATGTAGGACAGTTTACCATCGAACTATTGTTTATTTGGATGCAGTGAATGATGCTGTAGTGTTCATACACAAAACCTTTTGATTTCAGTGATTAATAAACGTCAACTTACGTAGAGAGGTATGTCACTACTAAGAGGGACTGCCGCATTCTTCTGTGTTAACTGAATAGCCAAATGAACCAATCCCTTTTCCAGTAGCGGCCGGTGAACAACGAACCCTGTTTGCGTGCGTTCGACTCGTGGTGATTCTGCTGCGGTGTCTTCGACGCGTTCAAGACCGCCGGATTGGGTCCGTTTTGCCAGCCAGATATCAGACCAAACTCCAACTGGGTTTACCTGTATACCGAAGACAGTAAAAGCAGTTTTTGATCCAATTACCCAACATATTACGTCGCTCACGCAATACGTAGTATCCTGTAAAGCGAATGCTTTGAAACACAACTTCAGTTAGTTCATCCAGTTCACCAGGGCTGGATAAAGTAAGCTAGACTGAGCTACTTGTTATTATTGTACTGAGACAGATGAGTTCAGGGTTCATCAATGAATAAACAATGATTATTACATGGACATCTGCGTGAGTATCACAAACCAAATACACTGAGCTGAACAATGGATCTGGGGATCTGAGGACAGCAAACTGATTGGCACCTAGGAATGAGTACCCCGTACTAGTCGTATATCTGTTATGATAGCAGTGTCATATCACAGCGATCTGATGGATCAAAGGAGCGAGGCAGACAGCCAATAGGTCGTGAACGTAAAGGATTCGACCATTGGACACTAATTGGTCGATGTCTTCGTGTGTTCCACAGTGAGTTCCTCATTGTTCGTTTAAGTGTGTCAAAGAAGGAAACTCACTGACCCCTAGAAGTCCTTGTTTATGAACATACGCTGGCAATATATTGAGGCATTCGGCGTGTCAAACGTGCTGCAATTTTCGTTGAGTTTGATTTTCCGTGTAAAGGCTTGTCCATAAAGGACTGACTTTTACAACACCTGTGGTAGCAGACAACAGGAGTTGTGTTACCACTGGTCACTTTGCTTGGATTATGTTTGCCACAGATATGTATGTTATAAAGTATCTTGTCTCGACGAAACAGTTGAAATAACTATAACGACAAACACATTACTTTGGAAAAGGCAGCTTATCACGGTTCCGCAATTTAATGATCTCGTGGCATACGTCGGCCGACAGAGCCGTTCCATGGAACGCTTTCCTTCCAGACAGTGTAGCAGCGTTTTATAACCATGTGTAAGGTTGTTGGATCTTTTCCAGTTAAGCCCCGCCACTAATGCAAAAAGAGCACGCGCAAAAAGTAAAGCCCCGCCACTAATGCAAAAAGAACACGCGCAAAAAGTTAAGCCCCGCCACTAATGCAAAAAGGGTGCACCTGAAAAGTCAAGCCCCACCAACAGTGCAAAAAGGGCACGCGTGAAAAGTTGAGCCCCGCCACTGTTTGCCAGCTCCAGTGTACGTAATGCATGTGAACGTGCCCCATAAAAACACTCCTTATCCGCTTCTAAGGTCATTTTTGTCCAAATAGTTTCTACGTTCGCACGTAAAACCTGACATGAACTTTCTGACGCTTTCGGCGGTCGTTCATGACAAGGAAACAGCAATACGTTTTTTGCAAAGCCATGGAGTGATTCATCATCAACGTTTATGCAGACGAGGACACCAAATGACACTTTCAACTGTTTCTGACAGGTGGAGGTGTGATGCCCGACAGTGTCGGCAAGAAATCGGTCTTCGAAAGGGAACTTGGCTGGAGCGGTCTAGGATGGATTTCAGGACAATAATCCTATTCATTTATTGCTGGTCCAAAAAGCTAACAACAATCAAATTCTGCTCAGAGGAGTTATCTATTGGCCACGCGACCGCTGTCGACTGGAAGAACTTTCTGCGTGAAATTTGCGCCTGGCAGCTTTTGCAGACTCCAACGATTGTCGGCGGCCCAGGTCTACATGTCGAGTTCGATGAAACCCTAATATCACGTCGTAAAAACCATGCAGGGCGAGTCCTTCCCCAGCAGTGGATTTTCGGAGGGATTTGCCGGGAGACTAAAGAAGTGTTCTTGTATGCAGTGCCAGATCGAACTGCGGCCACTCTGCTGGACACAATCCAGGCCTGCATCGCTCCCGGCTCAATTATCATTTCCGATATGTGGGCATCATACCAAGGCATTGAATCGATGATTGGCATGACTTATACTCATCAAACGGTTAATCATACCGAAAACTTTGTGGATCCAACGACTGGAGCTCACACACAAACCATCGAATCTCTCTGGCACATTTACAAGATGCAGATTAAGCGCCAATGCGGCACACACCGATCTTTAGTGGACAGCTACCTGTGTGAGTTCGTTTGGAGCAAAGACACCCAAAAAAGGGACCTTTTCATGCAACTTATTAATGACTTGTCTCAATTTCACCCTCTTCAATAGAGAGTAAAAGTTCAAGTTCCATATCCTCCCTTTTCATAATCTTTTTGGGTGGCGGGGCTTAACTTTTTGGCGGGGCTTAACTGGAAAAGATCCAGGTTGTCTACCCGCGCTGTATATAGCAGACAACTTTTCTAGAGTTTTCCAATAGACGGCGTTTATCTATCTGCCAATGGTGATGGTTATAAGCTTAAGCAGTCTTAATTTTAAGTATGGGAGCCTAACTACTTTCATGCCAAATTGGTTCGACAAAGCGCATGGTAAAATGACTCTGGAACAGCGCAAATTTCAGGAAAAATCCCTCCTCTCCAACTTTTCTAATGACCACAAAGCGTATAAGAAGCAGCGAAATATTTGTAACAGTGCAAAAGCGAGCAGCGCCGGCATTTCGAAGAGCATTTCGCAACCGCCGTAAGGGCCGCCCCGAAAAATATTGCCTACGTGAAGCGTCGCCCGTAGCCGGCCAGTGATCAAACAGTGATAGAAGGCTCGGACGAACAGTCCATAATCCCCATTACCGAGCGTGTGTCCGCGTTAGTGGTGGACTTCGCTTCCGTGTTTGCAATTGACGTGGTGTTTGTAATGAGTTCGACCTGTGCCACACTTACAGAAGTCGACAGTTCGGTTTACGGTGTTGAAATGGTGTGCCAACTATTTGCCAACATTGGCAGCACCAAACTTGCTGGTCCTGTAGGACTCCTCCCACTGATTATAACTTCCCATCGGCTATCGTCTTATCTGCCTTGATTGACTTGCTCATCGGGACACTATCCGAAAGTCTGTTGCTGATTGGTTGGAAATGTTCGGTGGCAAGGCCGATTCCGAAAGACGGTGACCTTAACAAGGTTGACAAGTTCAGGCCGATTTGTCTGGCCAAGGTTGTCGAGAAGATCGTGAAGAAGGGTATAATACATCTGCTCCGAACAAAATATCTGCTGACGGCTGCACAGCACGGTTTTATGCTAGGTCGCTCATGCATTACAAACCGGATGATAACGAGGTCTGAAGAGATCGTCATTGGCCTATCTTTTTAATCATATGACCACTACTGGAGTACGGCTCATCCTCAGACTGTTCAATCACTTGAGGCAAGGCGCAGGTCGAACGGGTCTAACACATCGTTACCAGGCTCATTCACATTTTACGAGAATTAACGTAGGAAGACCGATGCAATAAACTAGGATTCTACACCTTGTCTTGTCGGCGGGTGCCAGTCGATCTCATTGTGACCTACGGCATACAGTATCTAGGTGACTTCCTCATGTTAAGGCTGCTGCTTCACTTCCGAACGCTATGCAGCACGTGCAGGCACCAGTGCGATGAAACAATGGTTTAATATGAGTGGAAGAGCTAAGGCTTGATATATCTCGTAAGAAGATCATGATGAATATTGCAAAGTGTGGAAAAGATGTCAGCAAGAGTAAGTTCACATCGTGGACTCATCGCAGTATGCGTATTATTAACTGTAAATCCACTCTAAGTCCATAGGAAATGATGACGAATGGGACGTACATAAAAACCAGGTTGCATCCTGGTAAATATTTGCAGAAGGTGAAAAGGTGAAATGTATTCTGGGAGCTGACAGGCAGTGAAGCATCTAGCAGACGGTCTTGTTTGATCATGGGCAACGAGTCATGTGAGATTGTGCAGCGAAATAAGTGCACGGTTAACTCGGGCTTTGAACTCTGCTAGTGTGGGAGCACAAGTGACGGATTTCGGATGGGGTTTCCACGGTTTGCAAACGCGTACGGAAATGAAATTCCGACGGCATTCCAAAAGACTGTGCAGCTTTGACAAGTTGATACTCTAGCCTCTCGGATTACTATTGTGACCGGTACTAACAAATCGTGACACGTGCGGTTGGGATATCTAAAACACTTGTAAGTCAAAATAAAGTCCCCACGAAGTCTGCGTATCGTCCGCTGAAGACCCCGAACACTCTCAGCCTTTGTTCATACGGTAACTGGTAAAAGCTTGGACATTTTTGTTGCCCGACGTTGAGGTATTAGCAAAGTAGTGAGATCTCTCATCACCCATGGGTGGCAGACCTGTATTGCGTATTCTACATGTGGGCGTATGTAAGAGCCGAGAAGGTATTTAATAACTGACGGGTTGAATCGTCCTAATACACGCGGCAGGAGTACCACGTTCTGGAACGCTCTTTTTGATGCCATCATAGCTTGATTCGAAGAGCAAATGTTGGCTTAGAACAAAACGCACAGATCCTTTTCGCCGGAAGACCTTTGAAACTCCTGGGTGCCTTGTTTGTACCAGCACGCCAGCTGGTGCCAGTAGTGCTGCACTCGAATTTTTCTACATTAAACCGAAGCAGATTACGGACTAACCACGCGTAATCCCTATTCCGATCGATATGATGTATTGTAATATCATCTGACGTATTGATCACCATCCACACCGTGATGTCATCGGCATAAAGCAGTCAGTTCAAGCTTGTGAGGCGTGTACTGTCATAGATTTAGGTCAAAACTAACCGTGATCCCAGTACCGATCCCCGTGGTACTCCGCATTTAACTTGCATGGGACCTGCTATGAATTCGCGCACTTGTACCTCCAAGCACCGGTGTAAGAGAAAGCTTCTGATCAACCCTAAGAGAGGATAACCAAGAACAAATTTGGAGTTTCAAGTTTGGAGAGCAGAATGCCATGGTCTAACCGGCTGAATGCCTTGGCTAAGCTGAAAAAGTGCATTTTTCCTATGCCTGTGTTGTGTCGCAGCTGACTCCTTCGCCCAACGACCGCAAGAAGAATTCCAAAGACGTGTCAGGAAAGAGTAGTATGCATTGAGTATGGTCTGTTTAAATAGGTTTAAGAATGATCAGAAGGGAAGCTACTGAAAGACATTACAGCCGCCCACATTGCTAAAGGGATGCA